TTAAAAGCAGTGAAAAGAAAAAGTTAAATTAGATTTTCGTTTACTTTTAAAGCTTGTGAATTTTAAAATCTAACTTGCACCAAATTTCCAGCCTAATTTTTTTCGCTATTTATGTAACGTTTGCAACTTTTCACTATTTGCTAAAACCTGTTGTGATAATAACTATTACGAACGTATTAATACAATATTTGATGATCAGCACTATAACTCGAAAGTATTGTCTAACATTTCAAACTAATAATTAATTTGCATTACATGTACTATCTTCTGAATATAGCCTTGCTAAATTCTGAATCTTCAGAACTTTTATAAACCTTTGCATTGATTTGATGTCTTCAATCACACAGGGAGGAGTTTTTTGTTAAATTCTGTACTATATACTCCTAAGGATTTTTAAAAATTTAAAAAGTCTAACATCACTTCACATAGTACGGCTTTTGTTCATTAATCTTGCTTAAGATATTTTCTGATTTATTAATGCAACCACAAACTTTTCCTGTTCTTTGATCTTGCGATTAGAAAAGGTGCATCGTTTCAAACGAGCAAATATATAAATCATAGCTTTCTGGTAGGAGTTAAGGTCATAAATATGTATCTTATGTAACTAGAAATTATTTTTTTTTTAAATTCAAATGTTTAAATACTTAATAGGTTTCCTGTCACGTTTGAATTCTTTGAATCCACGTGAAGCAGAATTTTATGACCACAAAATTCTATCTCTATAGTATAGAAAATAAGAGGCGTACATTTGAACAATTGGCATTAAATTCCATGTGAAATTTAAATTTCTTTTTTTACATTATGAAATAGGAGTGTCTTGTAATCTGAAAATCTTTTTTATTGTTAATATCCATGGCTAATATGTGTGAATTGTTTTTCAAAGCAAACATGCACAGTCATGTGCACAGTTTTCCTTAGCATGTATTATAAGAGCATACACAACTTATCCAAGTGTATATTCCTTCGATCTAGTAATCCAAAAGAAACAAAAACAAAAAACAAATTTGGGTTTCGGGGTTTTTATTGCAAAATGTTTGTTTATTGGGGGGGGGGGGGGGTTGTAATCATCTGTACATCTCGAGGACTTGCTTTATTTACTGTGAACTTGAAATGCATATACCGAGTAAAGCAATACCTTTCATTTAAAATCATCAGATGCTTTACAAATCACTTATTTTCTCGGGAGGTTAATTTTCGTTGTTCTATAGTATGAAGAGATTCATGAATGCATCCTCAATGTTCAAATTTCATGTACAATCTCATGTTCACGTCTTCAACTACAATATCAAATCCCTACATGTACCAACCATTTCTCCCTAAAACTGCTTTTACGGTTATGACATTTCGTTTTGACACTTCGTGCTCAGTCGATATGCTTTTTCTGTGAAGTCGACATATGTATGGATCGACCTCATAAAAGGGCTATACATATTTGTATATCTTTTTTAATATATAGATCCATTGGAGGATTAATTTTTTAAATATGCATTTGGCGATCACGACGGCTCAAGAATCAAAATTGTTTAAAGCAATATGAGCTGCATTTTTGAGAATTTTATTTTGCTGTTAAAAATGTGCTGTTATGATAAATATGTACGTAATTTAAACCTTTATGATCAATTAAACTAAAATAAAGTATTAATTTTTTAAAAGAAATATTTCTGTACAATAGAATGTATAGTGTTATATAAGAAATCAATATTGTACAGGACGACAATAATGTAATTTTGCTTCAATCAAAGCTTAGAAATAGTTCTTTGCATCGCAAATATGAATAACAGAGTTTATAAACGTTCTTTTTTCTGTCATTGAACTAGTTAATTACAATATTGAAACAAAAATTTCCGACATCAAAGTTGCAGCTCATATTGCTTTAAACAGAAAGCCAATAAAGATTTTTTTTTGAATTGAGAAATCAGGTTTCATGCGACAAAAAGATTGATTGTTCTACAAGCTTCGTGTACTCGATGACATTTGTTTCTTTCAAGGTTTTTAATAATAAAAATTCATGAAGTTGGTGTTTCTTCACTAGCTTATGTACCACAACATTGATGTATGTGTCGAAGTCTTGTGATTTTTAAGTCATTGTTAATGTAGATAAACACTATTTTTACAATGGTCCTGGAGAGGATAGATGCTAGGCCAGCAATATCTCTTGGTTTCTGTAATGCAGACCAAAAAGAACTCTGTTAGTGAATATAATGTCTGTCTTCTCTTTGGAATCTAAATAAAACTACATTGTATAATTAATAGGTAAGTATATCATTCCTAGTCTATATCTCTTGTCTACACTGGACAAAATTGCTAACGCATCACTTGTTATTCTCGTTTCACTTTGTGAATTGAACAGTTGCCTAATCGGTACTAGTATATCTAATATGCCACCTTTCCCAATAAAATGGAATCGACAAATGTTTTGGTCGTGGTGTGATGACAAGATTCTTGTATGACCTTCTTGCCCTAAAACCAATTTCCCAACGCGCACTGGGCGCCATTTTTGCCCATATATGAAGTTGGTTATTACCGATGGTGGTCAGCGAGTTTGCAACAGAAGTAGTCTCTCAGTTAAAAAACAAATAATATACAGCGATTGACAATCATATCGCCTAGTAGTCACTCAGTGTCTTGGTGTTCATATCCAGTCCACACAACTTCCGTTTGTCCCTTTTTTTTCTTTTTTTTTTTTTGAAACAATCTTGAAATTGTCGTGTGGTGACTACTTAAATGTTTGTTACTCTATCTGCAACACTTTTTCACCAGAAGAAAAAAGTTATTATTTTAATTATTCATTTTTTTTCACAATTTTCTCGAAAAGAACACTGCAGACACCATACTGACTGGTTTAGCCCGCTTCTCTAGGGTCAAACGCCGCAAACAGTGCATTCTATTTCTGAGTTTTTTTAAAGAGCCATTCTCTGTAATGATTTGAACTTTTATATAGGAACTGTGGCACGCATAGTATCAGAATTTCTCCGAACTCTCTGTGATAAAAGTATTTGATGCCGTTAACTAAAATCGGGCAAAAATTGGTTGCTACGTGTCATGGTTACCATAGCAACATGTCCTAAAGTTTGAAAAATGGCACTTTTCAACATGTTCAGAGGCCCACAGTTAACGTTTGCAGCAAGCAAACAAGTGGCGATGACTGTTTCTGAAAGTTGAAGGTCTGATGTTCTAAATGCATGATAAACATGTTTGGTAAATTAAGTATTACATACGTAACTATGGAAACAAAGTATTCAAAAGTAATAATTTTGTTCGTTTAATTTTATATAGTCATACACTTAAGAATAACAACAATTATAGGTTGAAATGCAAGCAAATAATGGACAATAGATCCTTGTAACATATACCAAGGACGAAATGTGATTTTTCTTATAGTTTGGCAATGGTTGCCATGGTTTTAAAACCAGGAAGAGATTTTAAATGTACTCTCCTAGTGTTTTAATCTTATCCTATCTTTTTAAAAAGCATATTTCTATATAACTGATGATCAATATTTAAAAGAGTTGGTGTGACCCTAATTTTCTCATTTCAAAAAATTCAAATTCAATTCTTTAAATAGAGCGTTGCTATGGAAATAAGCCGAAAAAATATGTATAAAAATCTGAAAAATATTCTGTTTTCTTGGATACGTACCCTTGTCTGTAGATTCCCAAAACTTTTATGATTGATATTTATGAACAACTAACCTGACTTTCGATTTTGACTACCACCCAATCTCTAACTGGATGCAAAAAGCTGGCACATAGGGTTTAATATTGATATAAAATCAACAAAATCGATCATTTTTCCTTCTTGGTAACCATAGCAACAGTGATGTATTTTTCAACAAACTTTATCAATATATGATATTCAACTTTTGTTCTACCAGATAAGTAATTTTCAAGGTGAGTCAAATAATATGTTTCTAGATTTAAAGGTAAGTAAATTCCTAAGGCAGCAAAAAAATTATCACTTTAAACAACTGGTACGTTGTTTCCATGGTTACACTGCAAAAAACAATTAATCCCGATTTTTTTATGTTGTCGGTGTTCCAAGGTCCTAAGGATGTATATGTGCCAGTCATGAATTTTATTATTTTTCCTCAAAATATTAGTATTAACTTATTCTTAGCAACAGATTTTGCATGGTTACACTGTGTTACCATGGCAACCATGAAAGTTATTTTTAGAATAATATTGCCAATACCTAATTACTTAAGGTCAAATATTTTTATTGTTTTTCTTAGGTTTTTGATTGAGTTTGATCATGTAACACCTATCATTAGTGAATATTCAGTCTTTTTCAGCATCTAAAATGTATTCCAAATGTACCCATGGTTACCACTTACTTAGAGATAAATTCTAAATAGTTTCTTTATGGCAGAAGTGGCAACAAGGTGTCATGTTATTGTGAGGATGGTTTGTTTGTTTTTCTTAGTCTTTATTAAAGCTAAATAAAGATTCAGAGTAGCTAAAAATCTCAATTTTTCCAACTTTTCTGGCTGTTACCATGGCAACCAGGACACATAGCAACGGAATTTTATTTGATATACGTTTCTGGTGTCAAGTTGTAATAATGGGCAAAGTTTCATTAAAATCGGTGACCATGCGTGGCAAAGTAGTTTAAGTGGTTACAGAGAATCGCAATGAATTAGTACATACATAGCAGAACACAAACACGGAGGAAAAAAAAAAAGAAATTTATACCTTTAAAAAGTGAGCACGATTCTCAGTTTTCGAAATGAAATAGTTACGCTTCAGTTAACATTGTAGTTCTTTATCAGTTAAGACATTTATTTTAAACGCCTCATTTTTTTTTTTTACTTTAGTAACATATTAATTTATCAAATACATCATACGTTTGAAAAGTAAAATATTAAATTTTTTGGTGGTGCGTTAGCAATTTTGTCTAGTGTATATCCAATTAGTAAGTGTAACTACAACATTTTATTATTTTTTTTTTCATGTACAAAGTGATACATAGCAGTCACAATGATTTTTTTTTAATTTTCACAGTTGTCCAAGAAGAATGGGTAATTAAATCAGTCATTTCTAAAGATGGACTTGAACAGAGTAAGAATTTTTAAGTTTTGCATCCAATTTTCATTATTATTCACACCCTGCTACTTAATGATTCCTTTATCTCCTACATACTTTTTTTAAACATAAAAACTACCATTGCTGGTTCCTCCTTTGGATGTAGGTATCAGTATTATCCTTTCAAAGAAAACACTGTAAATCCCTTTTAGAAGCTTTGGCTTCTCTTCGCGATGATAGGACGACAGCTTCCTCTCTGAAGGCACATTTTATTATCGATATTCCTGTAGAGCTCAAAATTGTACACCATTAAAAGTGTTTGTTGTTAAATTGTTTAATTTTTTAACACGCATTTTTTTCTTTTGGGCTTCTGTAAGCAGATAAAGCATTCATCTACCATATCTCCAGGTATATTCTTTTTTAAAAATTCTGAAATTTTTAGTGTCTTGACAATGTCTTTCACTGTAAATCTAGAATTTTCAGACTTCATGTTGCTCACATCACATTGTTCTTAATCTGGATACGGAATTAAAAGCGTTTTCAAAAAGTAAAAGAGTAACATTTCTATATTTTAAAAACACATTTTCATACGTGACCTTCAGCAATTTTTGTAATGAGTAGTTTTTTTCACATAAACAATCATCAAAATACTTCGGAGACTATTTTCGTTAAGGATTCAGCTCAGTGTAGTGACCATGCCTACTTTAAAAAGGAATTTCTCTGCAAAATCAGTAGAAAAAAAGCAGACGGGTTATCATTTTCTTAATTCGGAGTTCTTAAATAGAAGGTTTAGACCGTGAAAAATGAACTCAATCGCATCTGTATTCAGAATGTAAACCGTACGTTGTATTATTTATTGAACGCCCCTCGTAAATCAACATCAAATGAAATGCAACTATTAACATTCTTTTTAAAAATTCAAGGGCACATAAATAATACTTTTTCCTTGTTGCTTTTTGAAAAATGAAAGCGATGGCATCAGTTTGTACTACTAATACTCCTATACAAGCGATGCACAGAGATTGCTAACCTAGAACATGACTAATAAAGAGATAACTGAGAAGAACCAATTTGACCACATCAAATATTTCATTTAAATACAATTGGAATGTTCTTAAAACATTTAAGTCTTATTTCAAGAAAAGGGTATTTGTAAACACTTTGAAATATGAAAGAAGGTATTGAAGAAGTAAATGTGTGAATATTAAAAAAAATGCATTATATACCACCTGTAGTCAAATTAAAAGTATATATACAATTGAAGATGTAAAAAAAAACCATATTAGAGGAAATATATGGATCACTTTGTCATATTTTGTTAGTCTCTCTATCTGGGAGAAATCACTTCTTTTTTTTACAAAAAAAGAAAATGGCCACCTGTAGACGCCTCAGGTATTTTCTACACAATTTTGATTTATAATGAAACATTGTCAAGGGTGTCAAATTTACTGATACGTTCCCAAGATGTCAAAATCAAGACTTAACCCATTTCCAATAGTTGCATAAGATACTCAGCACTTGAATACCTCATTCGACACCAATATAAGAATATCATAAAAATTTTGGGCGAACCATTGTTACGTAAAAAAGTGGAACATATGGAATATTTAGTGAATGGCTTTTACAGGTAATTTTTTCAAATTTTTTAACGATCCTGAATTTTAATAGGTGTTAAATAAAACCTAATGCAAAAAGAAAAAGAAAATAAAAGAAAAACAGAATACTCAGTATCACTCGCAAGAACTTAATCAGAGTGAAGCTATTTCAAAGATCTGTAAAACATTTAAGAGATATGCCTGAAAGGGAATTAAAAGCTGGTCCAAGAACTGATGAAAATTTAAACTTTTTCTAACGTAATATTTTTATCACCTGCTGAAAAGATGCAATTTCAGAAACCATCCCCTCTTTTTTTCAAAATTTAAAACCTGCTAAAGGAAAGGACAAGATAATAAAAAAGATATGCTGTAGAACTTTGTAGAGCAGTTTGAACGGGTTTTTATGGATAACTCACATATTTATCACAAAGTGGTAGGAAAACTTCGTTGTAAATATTTGACAATGACGAAGCATGTTGAACAGCTTTACAAATCTCTATAACAATTCTTCTTTGAAAGTCAGACATCTTCTTCGATCAATCATCTCAAATGTCCGCCTACAAGACCATCAGGAATTAATGCGAATAACATGTCCCCTGATTAATTTGTAAAATGATTTTTTTTTTCAAAATCATTTTCTTAACAACATTCAAGAAATTAACGAGCATAGTTAAATTAAATTAACACAAACAGTATTATCACATGTGTTGAAATGAAAGAATCACTTTAAAAGTAAAATGAAAAGAAAAAAAAGTTGCAAGGAGAAATGGAGACAAATCGATAAAAAAAATCTTAAAAGTCTTGGTCCAATGAGCTAATGAGTCCATGGCCGTAGAAACCGGGGGAGGGGGGGCTAGGGGGACGTGCCCTCCCCCAAAAATTTGGCCGTAGAAACCAAGGGGTGCGAGGGGGACGTTCCCTCTCCCCCAATAATTTTGCCTACATATAGTATACTATAGAAAACATGCATGTAGTTACTTTATGCTTGTGCCCCCTCAATGATAACGTCCGATGACCCCTTTTTTGTTTGGGGTCCCCCAAACAAAAATGAAAATGTTTGGTTGTGCCCCCCCCCCTCCTCTAAAAAACAAAAAAAACAACACTGATATTGCTTCCTACGGGCCTGGAGTCTATTGCTTTAATCTCTATCTACAAAATTCAATAGTGAAATGTGCCTTAACATATGGGAGCTATGCCGAAAAAATCTCTTTATTCGGAAAATTTGAGTGTATGGATGTGGTATGGAACTCTATATTATACAGCCAACTTCTTACTGCCCACTGCCCATTGTTTATTGCTAACTGCTCATTGCTTACTGCCATTGGTACTAATTGCGCTCCGTTATTAGCAGACCTATTTTGGTATTAATATGAAGCAGGATTTATTCAAAAACTTATACATGAGAATAAAAAAAACCTACTTGCTTTTGCCTTCAACTTGACATTTAGATATACCGACGACGTAACAATAGTTACTTCCATTCATATGTCGACTCGATATATCCCAGTGAACTTGAAATAAAAGATACCGCAGAGTCTGACATATCTGTTATACGTTTGGGTATTTTACTAGAAAAGGATGTTAACAGTAACCTAACAAAAAACTATGATAAACGCGATTTCAACTTTTCTATCGTCAACTTCCCTTACTTATATAGCTATGCAGCAATATACCCTTATCACCTGCATATGGGGTTTATGTCTCCCAGTTAATTTGATACACAAGGGCATGTTCTACTTAGAACAATTTCTAAAATGGGCAAGCTTATCATTTCGCAGGTTTTATACCTTGTCAGCAAATACGATCTTTCATTAATAAGTCGAATGCTGACTAGCGTTTTTCATACTAATTTACAAACACATCGATTAATAAAATGAGCACACGGTGTGACCGGTCGACAGGGGATGCTTACTCCCCCGTGGCACCTGATCCAATTGCCAACATATACTATACAGTTGTGTATAATACAATCAATAATGACATCTGTGACCTTTCTTTAATTACTTGTCAAGGGATTTCTGTTGGGTTGTGCCCCCTCCACTACTCCGCACGGAAATTGCTTCCTTGCCCAGGAACAATTATTTCTATATAAATTTAAATAACCCGTAATGTTCTACAGAGTATGTATTGGAAAATGAAATGTTTAAAGGTTTCAGAAATCATTTTACTCATGGCAAAGGAATTTGTGATTTTTTTCTTAGTGTTTCTGATATATTTCTTATCAGCTAGGGCTGCATGGGATTTATCAGGATATATTGGAGTTTGGTCTTTTTCTTTTCAACTTTCCTTCTCCTTCCTAGTTTAAACAATTCTAGATCCGCCTATGTTTTCACTGTAGCAATATAGTTGCATTCAAGCATGCGTGTTAAGAACAAGATTATAGGTAAAATCATCAACAAGCAGTGGCAGTGAGCAGTTGGCAGAAAGCAGTTGGCTGTCGTATATGGAATTCCAAAGGTAAAGGTTTTGCTGTTTATTTTGTTTGCAAATTTTACACTTTCCGTAATCATTCACATACAATGTAACTTAATTTTTGTTATCAACGAAATATTTTTAATTCAAATTTATAATCAATGTACAGAATTACAATATTCTTGATATAAATCAATATGTCATGTGTGCAACACTCCCAACACACATAGGTTCATGATAAATATACAAAATTGTAAAATTTACAGTAACTAATAAATAATAGTTCATATTTCAATGCATTTATTTACTATCACTGAAGGCAAGATTCCAAAGTTTCACTCTGGGAACATTGTATTAACAGTTACTGTATTTAACCAGTAATCTTCCCGAGAACAATTTGATCGTTTTCAGAATAAGCAGCTGTACCAATCACAATTCCTAGTAGTTTCCATATTGTTATCACCTCATCAAGTTATACTTACTAAGACGGGATTTTATGGGAGGTGGTTCAAATGAGTATTTCGCTTTAAATTTGAGCTTTCCAGGCCTTCGTAATTTCACGCACACTTTCACATTTTTTATGAGCTAGTAAACATGATACCTGAATCTTTTACACATTTAGATGATATAAAAAGGGGTATTTGACGTTAACATTTTATTTTTATTACATGTTGGATAACTGAAGGTACTCGGAAAATTCCATTAACCTTTCAAATGAGTAAGCTACTTTTGTTTTCTTGTTATTAGTCCATTTTATAAATTTTAATTCCCATAAAATTACTTTTGTGACTAAAAGAATTTATGATATATATGTACATAATATATACACGAGAAAAGTATGAATTTAAAAAAGACTGTCATGTAGAAATCGTGTTTTAAGGGTTGAAATGTCCAATTTGATTACATATATGCAGTGAACGAAACTCTTCATAATCAACCCATTTTATTCTGATTATCATTAATTATCATTATTATAAAAGGTTCAACTGAGATTTTTTTCTCAATGTTTGTAGGTGTCTGTCTGTCCAACTTTTCATTCATCTCAAGAATCACTAAGTCAATTTGACTCAAACTTGGCACAGATAATTATTAGACAAAGAGATCATGTCTCTTTCCACGGGAGATAATTTGTTAGACGATAAAAATAGGAAATAGTGTTATAATTTTTGTCCCTCGCTTTCGCAAAAGTGAGGGGACATTAAAACCCATTTGTCCGTCTGTCTGTCACAAAAAACTTTAACCTTGATCATAACTTTTGAATGAGAAAAGATAGGGCTTTCATATTTCACATGTACATTACCTTTGACAAGACCTTTCCAAATATACTATGATTTTTGACCCCATGATCTTGACCTTGAAGTTTGACCTACTTTTCAAAAATTTTATACAACTTTTTCCTTGGTTGATTGAGAAGAGAGGGGCTTTCATGTGCCTGTGACAAGACCTGTTTACATGTACCATGATTTTTTAACCCATGACCTTGAAATTTGACCTACTTTTTAAAAAATTTGAACATTGGTTATAGCTTTTGAACGAGAGATGAAACAGCATTTATATTTTTAAAAATACATTACCTGTGACACATACTATGACTTTTGAGTGACCTTGATCTTGAAGTTTGAGCTAAATTTAAAAAAAAAATCACATTTGTAACAACTTTTGAATGAGAGAAGATAGGGCGCATTCATATTTGCATTACTTGTGTCAAGACCTTTCCAAATGTGCTATGTTATTAGCCCTGTGACCTTGAAGTTTGACATAAATTTTAAAAATGTTCACATTGGTAATAACTTTTGAATGAGAGAAGATAGGGCATTCATATTTGACATGTGCATTATCTGAGACAAGACCTTTTCGAATGTGCTATGTTACTTGACCCCGTGACCTTGATGTTTGACTTAATATTGCTGATAACTATTGTAGGAGAGAAGATAGAGCAATCATATTTGACATGAGCATTACCTGTGACAAGATCTTTCCAAATGTACTATGATTTTTAACCCTTTGGCCTTGAAGTTTGACCTAATTTTCTAAAATTTCTAACATTTCTGATAACTTTTGAATGAGAGAAGATAGGGCATTTAAATTGCATCTTAGACACCGAAAGCAAGGGACCACAATTCTTTGAATTTGCTTATTTTTCTAATAACTACTGGAACAGAAAAAAATAAAACTTGAATGAAAGCTTTCTTATAGAGCGAAGGACCCCGGAGCAGAAGGTAAACCACATTAGGGGATAAAATTTTGAAATAGGAATAATTAGAAAAATCTTCTCAAGAATAGCTCTAGCAAGACCAGAATTAGTCATATTATATATCTTCAAGTTATTTTAATTCCAAATGCCAAGGGTTGTGGCCACAGTAGGGGTTCATACTTTGAAAAAGAAATATATCAAAAAAATATTTAAAACTTGTCTTCTACAGAACAGCATACCCAAAGCATGTCAAATTAACTCACGTATACTATCGATTCAAATCTTATTAAATCTCTTATTTTTAATTTTGACTCCTAAGCCTGAGATAGAATCATAATAGGGCCCACGCTCTACACATAAGTATGTAAGAAAAATCAAAGAAACCTTTGTTTCATAAGCAAAGTATGGCAATAAATAATCACCCAACCATAATATCCAATCATACTCATGTTGTGTCGAATCAAGTTGTTCAAATCATGGAGCCTGGGATAAGTATGGAGTCACAGTAAGGTCATTATCTAGAAGCGTGTGAAGAGGTTTATTAAGAGCTCTTTCAAATGACTTTCTTTAATAATCAATCATTCACATTTATCTGGAAACTTTCTTATGTCTTTAAGAATCAGATTCGTAGAAGTCACAATCCCTGAATTCATGAAAGCTACAATTAATAGGGTACAATTTTTTTTTACATTTTAAAATGATTTTCTGAAAACAATTAACAGGACTATAATTAGAAAACTTTTTTATCAAGCCATAGTCAATTTACTGAATATTACACTTGCTGACATGAAAGACGTGACTTAAAGTCAGAGTAAGCTAAAATTGATTACATTACGTATTCACTTACCAATTCAGTTGAGTGGCGTGACCCACGGGCCTCTTGTATCCTTTTAAAATGTCTTCAAGGACAGAAACAAACTTTTATCAAAAATCTTGAAAATAACAACTTTTAAAATTCATGCTTACATAAGTAAAAAGAATAAGTTTAACTGCATAGATTTTAATTTTTTATTCAAAGTTTCACAATAATGGGATTTAAAGTGACAAAAAGTTGTATACATTAATAAGGATTGTTGCAGAATGGTAGAATTTCGAACATCATAGAAAGTTTACAATTTCTTAATATCTTAGAAATTTATTATTCGCCTCATTTATAATCAAAATAGGTGCAAAAATATATACCAATTCAAGCATCCATTTTTTTGCTTGTATCATCAGTACGTCCTTCATAGCCATATGCATTAGAAAGTAAAACTAAGAAGTTGCCTAAAGAGCTCTCTGTTTTAATTGGGACAAAAAGCCACCGAAATAAATCTTCACAGAACAGTTCTAAGAATTTACTAAGTAACCATAAAACAAAGATATTTTCAAACAAAATGACTCAAAAATTAATCCCGGCAGAATTTTTTTTCCTTAATGTTGCTTATATGTTAATATTTCTTAATATCTGAGAGTTATCATAAGTTAATACAGGGTCGACGTAATTGGCAATAGCAATTTTTGATAACAATGATGTTTGATTGCAGCGGGAAAACTAACTGAATATATTCTCAGCTCTGTAGTGGCTTTGAAACTCTTAATGAGATAAATTGAATACAATGATAATTAGTAAGGCAATTCCAGACAAATAAAAAATTATGAAGGACATATTCAAAAAAGATCTACAAGATGTTTCTTTTCAATCCCTGCGACAGTTGAGTGATCCTTTTGTCTTTTTCAAAATAAAAATTATTATTCTTTTATTAGACAATTTGGCCGAAATAGTTGACACTTGAAATTAATATACAAACATCAACAAGACGATTGACATGTAGTTTATTATCTGTATCTGAACTAGACGTACTCAACAAGATTATACAACTGTAGAAATGCTCTCGTAAAAATAATGTAATTATGACACCAAAACCTGCCATGGAAAAATGTTTTGACATGAAATGATCCAGATATCATAATTTATGTTCTACAGTCATTTTAACAGAAAGATATAAATACCTTTTTAATCCCTCCTTTCAACCTCCTGGCGACAAAGGAAGGGTTCTCCTTACTTACATCACAGTGTTCAAAGGGTTGAAATCGTTCACAGTCGTAGGTTTTGTCTGTAGCAGTTTACTTCATTTTTAATTACGAAAATCCCATGAATTTTGAATGTAGCAATCCAGAATATTTGTACCGTTCAGACAAGAAGGCCAAAAGTATATCACCGTCCGGGGAGATATTCCAGTATATCGCCGCCCGGAGAGATATACTTCAGAATCTCCCTGTCGACAGTAAAAATACTCTGGTGCTATGTCAAAATATGAGGACGATAGTATCACATGATTTTCGACAGCAGTTTCAATTATCATATTAAACTTAAAATAACCTTGAAAAATCATGTGATGCTGTGTATAACCTGTTTAATTCCTTTTATACTTGACAAGTGAATAAGGTAGCAAAATATAGAATTGTCAAATTAAAATTTGCAAAAACTTTTTTTTTCACTCGGTTTGATTTGGAGGTTTTATCAATCATTATTTTGTCATAAAGCGAGGAAGATAGGGTAGCTAACCAATATTGTAAAATTCTAAAATTGAAAAAAAATTACACAACAAAAAGTATGAAAAAACTGACAAAGGATTTAACTGATATCAAAATTTAGGACTTTTCAACACTTTATACAACCATTCCCCACGATGAATTAAAGTCGAGGCTTTTTGATATCATAGACAGCTGCTTTTTCAATTAAAATGGAACTCGTAAAATTATATACCCTGCCATTGGTTATTTGCAAAATCATTTTCTTTAAAAACATTCTGATCGTACACACAAGTACTCGGAAGTTGATATTGCTTGAGTTTCCGATGGACAATATCTATGTAATTTTGTAGATTTTGTAATTCCAACAATTTGTTGGAATTCTCATGGGTATAATTGCGCCCCATTCTTAGCAGACCTATTTTGAATTCATCTGAAGCAGAACTTATTCAAAAAATTTCTACTTGAAAAGAAGACGTCTCTTGCTGTGGCCTTCAATTCGACATTTAGATACATGTATATCGTTTTATCAATTAACAATATTCTATTTCATATTTAGATATTATACTAAAAAGACATTAATGACAACCCAACAACAAAACTTGATAAACGTGATGACTTCAATAACTTCCCTTATTTATGTAGAAATATATCATTATCATCTGCATATGGAGTTTACGTCTCCCAATTGATTCGATACGCAAAAGCTTGCTCTACGTACGAACAATTTCTAAAACAAATCAAGCTACTGATAAATAAGTTGATGATAAACGGATATCAAAAGTCCCGTTTAACGTCAACATTTCTCTTATAGAATGACCTTATTAGCAAATACAATCTGTCGTTAAGTCGAATGTTGACTGAAGTTTTTCATATAGATTATTAGGCCATTAAATTCACACTGAATTGTCAACAAATTTTTCCGTTTGCCCGATCATGACAAGGAGAATACGACGGGTGTGACCGGTCGACGGGGGATGCTTTCTCCTCCATGGTACCTCATCTCACCTCGGATTATTTTAGAAGTCTGTGTTAGCTCTGCTCCAATTTGTATGGTTCGAATGGACTTTTTAGCTTGATTACTGTTCATTATCTTCTTATTTCATTCAGTTGAACCAAAAATAAATATGATTTTGAGTTGTGTCATTTTCATATAAATCCTGATTTTGCTTAAAAGAAAACACAAGCTATTTGTCTTTGTTTTGTAATTCATAGAGACATATGTGATAAATTGCCGTAATAAAGGAACAGGACAGTTGTAAACAAACAGTCATTGTAGTGAAAGGGATTTCAACGGTAAAAATAGATAATAACGATATGGAGTTGTCTGCTTGTGCAGGACAAAGTCTTAGGAGAAAATCATCATCATTATGGCAGAGAGCAAAAAATAGAATTAGAATAACTCCGAAAGATGCAACACCTGTGAATTGGAAAATCATAGGCCTAGTCTTCATATCAATGGTAAATTGACAATTTTTGTGACCATCAAAGATACTATATTGCACTTAGAAACCTTTTAATCTTAAATAACGGAGATGATGTATTACTATAGACTGAATTAAATATGATAATACAGTGAAATATTCGTTAAAAATTTAAAACAATACACATATACAATAATAAGTACCTATTTTCTGCTTTATCTTTCCAGTTCACTGGTACACTCAGTCTTACATTTCTGTTTCCTTTCCTGCCAGAAATGATTTTGGTAAGTAACATGGTCTTCAATGCGATTTTCAACCACTTTAAAAAAGGATTTTAAATATATATGTGAACCATCTTCCTGTAGTTCTTTGGTTACCAAGAGACAGAAAAGGGCTACTATGCTGGAATGGTGGCTTCCGTGGTGTTTGCTGGCAGAGCAACAGGGAGGTAGGGGAGGGAGCATTCCAATCCACAAGATGGCACTTGATTATTATCTACAATAAAATAAAATTGATTAAGATATTAAGTATATGAATATTGTATAAGCAGATTTTCTGTTGATTTGCTTTTTTTAAATTTATGTTTGCTTTGGGTTTGAATAGTTGAATACTCTATAGATATTGCATATATAGATGTACAATGCATTTTCTTTTTTTCTTTTACGAAATTAAGCCATTCTTCATTCCTTTTTACATCAGCTTTTTCTGGGGTTGGTTATCCGACAGAATTGGCCGGAAGCCAGTTATACTCATGACCATTTTTGGAAATGGCTTTTTCTGCTTGCTGTTTGGATTTACAACTAATTTACCTATGGCACTTATCATCAGGTTTTTAGCTGGTTTGGCCAATGGTATTTCTTTTTACCAGTTGATGTTTTTTAGAACTATTAAGTCGAATTGATAAACAGAAATAAATAATAATGGCCTTAGCAATGTTTTTTGTCAGAAACAAATTTTGATCAACTTACAGGGGCTTTACCCTGATACTGGAATTAGTTTCCATGATACCCTATATTAATTTCTATAGTACTTTAAGTAGTTATGAAGTATTTTTCCTACTGATATTTATCGTACATTCTTAAATTCATAGTCTTTATTTTATAATCCTCTTGAAAAACAATCTTTGATAGGTACCGCAAGCATTGCCAAGGCAATTTTATATGAGATTTCTGATGACTCTAATCAAGCCACCGGACTGTCCATCGTGGCCATGTCATGGGGAGCAGGGATCATACTGGGACCGACTGTTGGGGGTACGGGCCAAATAAACATATGCAAATGTAAATGACTTTCATATATCAAAGTTTACCCTCTAAATACTTGATAACTCAGCATAAATTCACATTCTGCTTTACATAAAATTATTCAATGTAGAAAATATTTGTATCCTTTCTAAATGTTCATGTTTGTAGGAATCTTATCCAACCCAGCCGTTAGATACCCCTCCTTGTTTCAAAAGGATGGCGTGTTTGACCAGTTTCCATACCTTCTGTCTAGTCTTATCGTGGCATGTGCCTGTTTTGTGGTTATCGTTGTTGACTTCTTAGTTCTACCCGAGACAAAGATCACAAAGTGAGAACTATGGTAGTTCATAATCTCTCTAAGAGAATCAAAATACAAACCCATAGAAGTTTTTTTTGTTTTTTTAAAACATATCGAATTTTTTTTTCATTTCAGACAAAGAGAATTAGATGTAAGAATTGAGGAACACACTGAAGAATTACAGAAGTTGGTGCACAAGACACAACAGAAGCAGACACACGAGAATGATAGATCATTATCTATGGAGGATCTCCACTGCTACACTGATAGAACAATATATGAGATCAGACTCTACCAGTCCTGTCAAGATCTAAACAGGTCACATGACTTTATAATGAACAGGACGATGGAAAAGCTAACAGAAGAAAACGATACTGAAAAAGCATTACGGATTGAAAAGAAGACATCTAAGTGCATCTTCAATAAAGTCAAGAGTACAAGTCTATTTGAAATATTAAGGTTGTCAACATATACCAGTCGTCTCACTTTTCTATAGCTGTTTTGTTGACAATTTTTCATGTTAGTTATCTATCTAATGTCAAGCTTTTTGCAATATTTTTCTTTTTTAAATTCGACAGCTTATATAAAGTATTTCAATGTTTCCTGATGTCCGACGTGTTAGATAAGTATGAATTTACCTAAACATCTTTGGTGTCTTTTCTGGTAGACCGTCAAATCATCAGCACGGACCATCTGTCTCCAGATGTTTCATCCTAACTCAGATGGTGGAACAGCAGAAGGTGATTAGTCTTCTACCCCCGACTGTCAGGCTTACAGCTACTGTTCTTCCCTTCGAAGTCATAACCAGCTCTGATCGTCTTACTTAGCATGTTTGCGTTCATGGGCCTCCTGACATCGAGTCCCCCATGGTACTCAATTACCCCTAGATTTTTCTTACTTCCAGATATTAGCAAGATGTCTGATGACTGGGTAGTTTCTACTATTGGTGGGAAAAGTAGTTCTTCTCAAGGTCTCAAGCTCCTATCTCTGCTCATACTCAGTATGTCATACCTGCGTTTTATATTCTCCTCCCCTCTAACAAAGGTGCTGGGTCAAGTTATTTAAGGACCTGGTCATGCATACACCTATTCCCTCTCTGGGTAAGGGCAACATGGCAAGATGACAATGTGTGCTCAAGTTTGACCATCTTCTGGCTTTGTAGGCACATTTGGTCCTCGGTCATTCCTCAAATACCTACATGTGCTGGATTTGACAGTACACAATTGTTAACATTAGCTATACTCAGGGGAGGGTATAGATGTTGGAAAGACGTTTACTTCCACATATCACTCCATGTCAACACTCTCTGTCCGGTTTCCCATCTAGTTCAATTTCCCTGGCTTAACATCTTTACTGCCTTGTTAAGTTTTTCCTTTTCTTCCTGTTGTTGTATCTCACGTTTGACTAGTTTCCTTATGTATCTCGCTGATGCTCCTGTCTATCTTGTTGTTGATTGAGTGCCTACATCTTGACTCCCTTTACAGATAGTTCCCACAATGTCTTTTTGACGAAGTTTTTATTCTGCTTCTGATATTGCATCATTTGCGTTTCACCTGTGTCCTGACTGTATGTAGGATCCAGCTTCTTATACTTTGGATCATTGAAGTCCTTGAGGGGTTATTTTGAGACAAGCCTTCCCGTTTTGAATTCCTCTACCATTGATGTGAGAAGTAAACGCAGTTTGGTAGTTTACCATTCATCGGCATAGTTATCGGTTGACTTTCCTCTCAATGCCTCGTACATTTTGGATTTGCGATGTCATAAAGCACGATTGGGAAAATCAGTCTGGATTAGAGTCCGTGCTGGAATATTTACGCATTAAATTTCTCAAGCAAGTTTGTTTTGTCGGTGTTAACTAGCTTCTCTGTTGTCTCTTGTTCTAGCCGACTGTTATTGTTCACATCCATTAATGTGTTTTTGTACCATTTGCCTAAGCGTTTGATTAAATTTTCCATAACCGATGGTATCTGTATGTTTTTTTTTCAATATGAATTTCCGTGTACTATTGTCTGACTTTTCTTCCCGACCAGATATCTCGATTTCTCGATTTTGCAGGCTTGAACTTCAAGTCGGCCCATGTCACTTTGGGTCCATCTGACTGTTTTCTCCATATACCAGTCTCGCCTACATGTGTATTGTCATGGTGATTGTTGATGGGTTACTAATGTCTGCCTTGATATTTGATCCTCTGATCTCTCTTCTCCCCGCCTCTATCAAGAGATTAATTACATAAAAATAAAAACGAGTAATTTTATTTTGCAAGTGGTTCTTTTCGTGAAATTACGCGATAATTAATTCATCTCGTTTATTTAGGAATCTACAGTATCTGTATCAACTATATGTGACATCATCCATCTAGTTTTGCAAAGAAAATCTTCACTTTCACGTCCAGGAGTGATATGATTAACTGTATGTTGTTTAACGTCCCATTTGAGAATTTTCTGCTCTTTTACAGAGTCGTCACCATGTGCCATTGAAAGGCATCAAATTAGACCTATACTCGGCACTCATGACCATTGAGCAGCAAAGGTTCTTTCTCGTGCCCATGCCTACCGTGACAAAGGATCTCGGTTTTTAAGGTCTCATCCAAAAGACCCATGACTTTTACTTCTAGTGCATGGCGCTTGGCAAAGGAACAGTCACTACCTATGTTTAAGTCATAGGTTTGAACGAGAATCGAATCCGGGCCTCCCGATCAATAGGCTACCGTGACAGGTCTTGAGGAGCGATATTACACTGAACTGTTTGATCTCTGCCCAGCTCATCTCCTTTGGTATAAAGCAACCATCTTCTACTTACCAGCATGACAGTGTGCGGCATTTCCTCCAAATGGCTCTCATTGTTCAGAAGTTTTGGGCACTTCAAAAGAAGACTTTGTCACAACGTTTAGTCCTGGAGCTGATCTTGCATTGCTTTCCTCATCACTTCTCTAATTTCTCTCAGTGTTTCAAGTCGTTCTTTGATGTCTAAAGGTTTCTGGAGTTGTAGCACAGTCTCTATTCTGCCGTTTTCGCCATGTGGTTCATCTCTGGTCCCATCCAAATGTGTTTATGCTTCAAACTCATTTCTAAGTGTTTAAAGTTTTCCAGATCTCCTCCCTTTCCCCTCAAGCACACCTGACACGAACTTATAAGGATTCCTTTTTCTTCTCCATCTTGTTTCTGATTTTCTCTGCATTTCTCAGTTCATTTAGTCTTTTCCCGAGATCGTTTCTGAGTTGAGTAAGCCCTTTCTTTCTTCATACTGCTTCGCCTATATCCATTTTTAAGTGTTCGAAGTTCCCTCCGGATGTTTGTTATTTCCATCTTTCTTTCACTTTAATGGTCAACACTTCTCTCTTGTTTCCCTTCGACTTCAAATTTGTCCCCTGCTATGATGTAGATTACTATTGCCATGTTTTCCCATTTCGTCTTCGCTGGTCCTATAACTATTATTTCAAGAAGACTGTCCATGTCTTCGTCAAACATCTCCCATTCACTGCTCACTATTTGTGGCCACTTAATTTTGTTAACTCCTGACCGTCGTTTGATCCCCTCTGTCTCCTTGGCTTGAAACAGTTGCCCCGAGATCCTCAGTTCTATGGTGTTGGCCCTGACTGTGATTCTCCTCCGTCTGACCATCTAATGCTATGCATTCCTCCTGTCATTCCCCAGTTCCACATTTGGTTTTTGCCTTATGGATCTTGAGTCCTTTGAACAAGATTCTTGCAGAACTTTCCACTTTTGGTAAAATTTTGAGTAGTTGTAAAATTTTTGTTATTTTACTCGGCAGAAAATGTTTTGAAATGCAATTTGATCCAAAAAAAATAAGGAAAGAAGAATTTCATATTCTATAAAAATATGAAATTAAAGTTTCCAACGACCACCAATATAGTTACTCCTACCATAGTCTCATATGTTTTTAATTATGTTCCCCAAACGAAGTTTGGGAACATATTGTTTTTACTCTGTTTCTTATTCTTATTATTATTATTATTATTCTTTTTTATTCTTATTTCTTCTCCGGTACTTTTTGTTCCGCGAGTGTTCTTGGAAACTGCTCATCCAATTGAGTTAAAACCTTTTTAGGGTTAATAGGCATGTTGTGTAGATGTGCGGAACGAAGGTCATTTTGCGCGCACATGCATGCACGTGCGGGCGCGTGCAATGAGTGAAATGACTGACATACTTCATATAGCCGTAACTTTTACATTTTTTGATGAAATGCTTTGAAACTTATAACTTAAGGATATATTAGTAGAGTAGACAAGATGACATGGTCAAATCAGCATGAACTCACGCGCATGCACGTGCGTTTCGCTCTGATTGGCTGAAACAAAAGTCTCAGTATCTTTTTTTGTTTTTTGACAAAATACATAGAAATTTAGAACATAGTCATACATTAGGAGGTTGTACAATATAATATATAAGAATTATCATGAAAACACACGCATGCACGTGTGCTGCAATCTGATTGACTTAAACTTTAAATGGCTATAACTTTCTTGGTTCTCAACAAAACAGGATGAAATTTAGAATATAAATAGGTATAATGGATTCCAACAGTATGTTACTATCAACATTGAATGTAAGACCATGCATGCGCGTGCGCAATGCGTTTAATGACCAATATACTTGATATAACCGTAACTTTTAAACGTTTTGAAGAATTACTTTGAAACTCAAAAAATAGAAATATAATGAAAGGGTAGAAAAGATGATATGGTCACCATGCATATGCATGCACGTGCGCGCACGTGCAATGCGAAAAATGACCAATATACTTGATATAGCCGTTACTTCTATACTGTTTGATGAAATGCTTTAATTCTTATAATATAGAGAGATACTAAGAGTGTAGAAAAGATGATATGGTCAACATGCACATGCATTCACGTGCTCGCGCGTGCAATGCTAAAATGTCCTATAAAATTGATATAGCTGTAACTTTTATACTTTTTGACGAAATGCTTCAATACTTATCATATGGAGAGATATTAATGGTGTAGACAAGATAGTTTGGTCATCATGCACATGCATGCACGTGCGCGCGAGTGCAATGCTTAAATGAACAATATACTTGATATAGCCGTAACTTTTATATTTTTTGAAGAAATGTTTCGATACTCAGAATTAAGATGCATTTATAGTATAGACGAGATGACATGGCCATCCTGCACACGCATGCACGTGCGCGCGCGTGTAATGCGTAAAAAACCAATATACTTGATTGCCTTATTCAATGAAACTTACAGGGAATAAGACACCAAAAGGGAGTTGGGGAGCGTTTGGGGAACATCTGTAACGGTCCCCGTTACAATTATAACTAGTTATCTATTGTTTTGTGAATTTAATACAATGACTTTATGTGAATTAGTCAGGTTAAAGATAGCCTGTAATATTTGGTATTCTAAAGTTTGAGATGCTCCGTGTTATAATTAATTGAATAAGTTTTATTATATCACTACAGGATATAAAGTACATGTACAGTAACATATGCAATAGTCAAGATCAAGAGCTTTTTTTTCTATTTTAGTATGCCTGATTGTAGAAAAGCAGTTTTTCTGTACACAGCCTTTTCCTTCTCGTCCATTGGCTATGAGGAAATTTTTACGATATGGACATCAACCCAAAAAAATTATGGTAGATTATCCCTGGCCGTTTTTTCTACATGACTCTTTTTAAGAATTTAAAAGACACATCAAAGTGACTTCTGGACGAGGCAAAGTTTATAAAACGCCTTTTCCTAGTAGTTTAATCTCGAAAAGATTTTTGTAAATTTCAGATGGTCTAGGGTTTGAGACAGATGAGATTGGTATGGTTCTTGGCTTGGCATCATTTCCTATGTTGGCTCTAAATCTGTTCATCTACCCATTCCTTGACAGGATCTTTGGAACCAAAAAGGTGATCTTTGATATGAAAAAGATTTTGAGTTGCACACTCTTATCTTGAAATTTAGATTTGTTTGATAATTCTTTCAATAAGTTCTGATTTTTCAGAAAAAGGAAATTCGGATCTTTTCACGTACACAGATATTTCCTCCGCTATTTTTCAATCATTTATTCTAAGCCTATTAATATCTAAATATTGACTGGTAAAGATAACGTACAATTAGTCGAAATGTCTTAAACAATTTTTATTCTTTTGTTAAATTATTTTTGTAACTACTTGTGTATTTTGAAGTGCTTGTCTCGAGAATTCCCAGCTGGATCAGACTTTGGACGCTAGATTAGGTCATATTATGACTGAAAAAAATCTTGCATGTTAAACTCAGTTAAAATAAACTGCTAGTTTTAATACATAGTCGTAATTTCAATATCAATTTCATAAACAAATCGTCGTATATAGACTTGAAATTCTAAACCGTTTGTCATTATAATGTTGGATTGTTAAGTGATCATACTGGGTATTTAGAGACTAAAGCTAGTAAATTCAATTCCTTGATCTAGCAACAAAATAATAGTGGTCTCTCGGGAATCCAGTTTATCACTATGCCGACGTAGACAAAGGATATGTCTACTTGAACCTCAGAGCTTTGTTTCTAAACTAGTCATGACAATTTTCTAGAAATTGCTTCTAAACTAGTCATGACAATTTTCTAGAAAATTTATCTGGTTGATCTTTATTTTACATCATGTTAAAAGTACAGTCACCTTTAAGTGTCGAATCCTATGCCAACATGACCATCATTTTCTCTTGTGAGAGAATAATTGTTGAAAAATTCTCTAAATGTTGCCTTTTATCTAATGTGTTTTAGTTATCTGTAAAACCCCTTTAACAATTATCGTAGCGATTAACATGTCTATATAAGGTGGTGAAAAGGAAAATTTTTGAAAAATGCATTTGAAAAGCTTGGAATGACAAAGAAAATTGCTTGGGTGGTACGATAAAAGAAAATTACCATGAAACAAAGATAAAATGATAAATGTTCCTGTAGAGAAGAAAAACAAATTGTTCTCTATGTCCTTGCTTTGTCTTTTTTTTTTAAATTCATGCCAAATTTTCCAAATGTACAGATTTTGGTGATATGCAACATTACTTTGTCAACAACTTTATGCAGGATAGACGATACTTAAGAAGAATTAACAAGTTGTCAACCATGAACCATAATAAAAAAAAATAATAATGTGATAACGATACCTGCAAAAGCCATGATGTTTATTATTCTATTATTTTTGACACCCTTGTCGAATTTTATTGCTGTCGTCTGCCATCATGTCTCCATTGCCAGTCATTACTTAAAATTCACCTAAGCGAGGATATTTATCTGTATACATTTCGTTCATTTACTCTGGCTTTTAGGCGGTTTGAAAACATGGAAGTTGCAATTAGAGGACCACAAAATCTTTTTGACAAAGCGCCTCCGCAGTGGCTTAAGGTCAAGAGTCCCGGTCTATTTTCAGCAGTTTTAGTCTTCATTTGGCTCACAATCTGTTCATCTACCCACGAAATGATATTTATTCAACGAGATGTAAGTTTTCCATCCCCGAGTCTCTGACAATGGGATTGAAAAAATAAGTGTTAGATGAAATAAGTATGCAGATCATTAAAAAGTCTTATTACCTCAGAAAGATGATTGATAGTTTCAAAGGTAGAAGGTATATTAAAGAGATATAGATACTAGAATAATGTAATCGTGTGGTACATGTAAAACCATTCATCACTGTCCATTTTTTCCAGACATTTATTTTCTGTGGATTTATAAATGGAATTTTGATGACTGTTACACCGATGCTACATCTTATTGAATCAAGGTTTGTAAACACATATACATGTACAGGTACCAATATATTCTATTTATATTAAAGCAAAAAAAAATCCCGTAAACATGTCTGGACAGATTTGATCAGACCGAGGACTTCCTAAATGATAACACCTGTATTCAAAACGGTTCATATATTTAAAAATGTACGTATCTATAATACAACGATCATATGTTTAGCAATATGAATTCTTTTGACCATAAAATGAAATTGAAAAGTACACATTCTTAAGTCTTCAGTAACTATAATATCACAAAGATCTTTAGTTTTTTATGTTAAAATGATTGACCATATATTTTACTCTATCAATCCAGTAGACTTTAGACTAGAATTCTGAAATACTGACTCACTGTTTAAAACGTTCTGTACTCAAATTTTGACAATTCCAATCCATGTAACCTTTTTATTTGGGGGGGGGGGGGTCATTTCTCTCGTGTAGTCTATATCATTTGTCAAAATACGCAGCCTCCATCTTGTTTGCGTCAAAACTTGAAAGGTTGAAGTTGTAAGTTGAAGTTGTCTTTGAATGAAACAAACATAGACAAGAAAACGACATTCGATTTTTTTCGTATTGAAATATTATAATACATGGGTGGGGGTGGTGATAACTATTTTTACATGCTTAAAGCAAGCCATCGTGATAAATCAATGTTAAATCAATGTTGTAGTAATTTGAATACTTACCCCAGTTGTTCTCGTTTTCCAGGTCCCCCTCCGTACTGTGGACGATCCTTCTTCTTGTGATTGTTCCACAGAAGATAATGACTAGTTGTTTGTTTACTGCATCATCACTATTCATCAACAACTCGTCACCAGCTCACATGGCAGGTTCTGTCAATGGCATTGCCACGACATCTACTGCTATTGCGAGGTAATACATGTGTCATGGCTTTTAACTCTTCTTTAAAAGTTTGGCATTATTCATCTTTTATAGTTAGTATAACATTCTATTGAAACGTTAACATTTATCATTGTTCAATATTCTTTAACTTTTCACAGGACATTAGCACCAACAATAGGAGGAAGTGTATTTGCGTGGTCTATAGGGAACAATCTGGAAGCACCGTTTGATGTCAACCTCTCTTTCTTTATCTTCGGATTCATTTTATGGTTGACCAGTGTATACAGTTTATTTATACCAGAGTCTCTTAACAGAAAAAAGACTTAATCCAGTAAAATTAAGAATAAATACTGTCAACAATTCTTTTTTTTCATTGGAACCCAAATTTCACAAGTTTAGCAAGGTTATGGAAATGGTGATTTTTCGTTACCTTGAACATGATCTTTACTGAATTGCTTGAAGTCTTACAAGTGAATGGTACATTTTTTGACTTTAGGAAAGACATACCATCGGTTATACTTGTATGTGTGCTTTAAAACCAGAATCGATTACACAAATGTCACAGAAAAGTCATGTTTATGTTCACTCATACAAAATAACCTATGATAATTGAATTAGAGTATCCACTTGATAGTTCATTGAAGAATTGACCATTTCTCTGTAACCACAGAAAAATTTCAAATTGACCGTCGTCTTATGGTCAAATGATTAGTGAGAGATGCTCACAGTTGGCAACTTTTGAGTTTAGTGCTTTTCTGGATATCTGTCAACTGTTTTGAATAAAATGATTATTAAGTAGTTGACCTATCATTGACTGTTTTTCACTAATTCTTGGCGAGGTTGTTCGTTAGTAGAGTGCTGATATTTTGACATTTTTATGAGCGTCTATTAGTCGAGCATGCACTCAAACTCCAATGGAAAAAGTGTAGATACTTGTTGAAGACGAAGACTTTATTTGGTTTCATGTGTCTGGTTTCTTTCAATAATATATCCCTCAATTGATAATCATTAAACCATTAACTGAATTCTCTAATTGAGTTCTCAGAGAAATTTTTCGTATGGGTATTTGACTTTTTTGCCATGCAAATGAGGGGACGTTAAAACTCATTAACACAAAGGTAGCCTAAAGCTGTTCAGTTGACTACTGTTGAATACTCCTTTATTCTCACTTATTTGTCTACTAGTAATGTTGATCGAATGCTCCTACATTTTCTGTTCAGTTGACCACAGTGTTTAAAAATACCCGTAATGCAGATATAATATATTTTTCAATTAACAAACAGCGCTGTACATTGTTTTAATAAAGACGGACAGATTTAATTTAATAACTTAAAAGTGTGTACCAGGTGTGTGTGAACAAAAATTTTTAAGTGCAGAAAAAGTAAACAGGCAGGAAGGAGTTATGCCAAATTTAAATTTGATATTGTTCTTTAGCGTTTTTCTGATTCTTTAAATGATACAAAAATATGTTTTTATGCAAGTAATTTAGGAATGGAACTATCATCATCAGGCGCTGGTACCAAACTCTAGGCAGATGTGTTTCTGTCATGAATAGACCATTCGGTATTCTAGCATGACAAACCTGTCTGGTAGAAAATAATATATGTATCATTTTTATTCTCTAGTTTAAATAAAAAAGTGTATGCGTATTATACTAACAAGAAATATATATACAAATTAAGTTACAAGTCTAACACTGTGCTTCCATACTTTTCTATCTTTCATACATCAGGCGACCTGACAAGAATTTCTTCCCTTCACTTTACATGAGATATAGCAGAATTTCTTCAAAATCGTTTACGTGAAAAGAAGAAAACACTTGCTGTGGCCTTCAACTCGACATGTAGATATATCGACGACGTATTGTCAATTAACAATGGTTATTTCCATTCTTATGTTGACACGATAAATCCCGATGAGCTTGAGATAAAAGATACCACAGAGTCTGACACATCTGTTTCATGTTTGGATATTTTATTAAGAAAAGACGTGATGACTTTAACTTTTAAATCGTCAACTTCCATTACTTATGCAGCAATGTACCCTTATCACCTGCATACGGGGTTTATATCTTTCAGTTGATTCGAACCGCTTAAAAGCCAGAGCATGCTCTACGTATGAACAATTTCTAAAATGAGGTAATTTATTTGCAAACAAGTTGAGGAAACAGGAATATCAGCAGTCTCGTTTAAAGTCGTCATTTCGTAAGTTCTATGGTCGATACAATGACCTTGTCAACAAATATAATCTATCATTAAGTCAATGCTGACTGACATTTTTCATACTTATTGTTAGGCCATTATTTACATACTGAATTGTCGACGGATTTTTCCGTTATTTCCCGATCATGACAAGGAGCACACGGCGGGTGTGACCGGTCGGCAGGGGATGCTCACTCCTCCATGGCACCTGATCCCACCTCTGATGTCTTTGAAGTCCGTGTTTGCCCTGCTCCTATTTTGTAATGTTTTATGGACTTTTGAGCTTGAATACTGTTCGTTATCGCCACATTTTTCATAGTACCAAAGCCAACTCTAACAGATACGATACTCATAGTGTTCAACAAGAGAAGTTCGGGTGTTCAACTAATGGACAGCTCAGGATTTTTTTTTTCAAAATATTGGCGGTCAACTAGCAATCAACCTCACAAAGAATCAAGTAAAAAAAATAACAGTCAGTGATCATTTTTGCAAAGCAGTTGAAAACTATTCAGAAAAGCACTCAACTCCTAGAAGTATTTGCATCTTTAACTGCAAATATACTCTTTAACACTCGTTGTATTTTCAAAACAAAGAAAATCAATTGCATTATTTCCGTTCTCTAGTTTCATCATTTTTCGTTGCACACCAATTTTTCTTGTTTTGGAGGTTGAGCAGGACCATAATATTAAAAAAAAAAAGGTGAGGATGACGAACAGATCTCGATCTCAACAAATCTATAAACAATACAAATCTGTGAAGAGGGCATTTCATTTCATTTTATTCAGGTAAAAATATCACAGAATGTCATAACACACATTTAAAACATTACAGATTAGCCTACTAATAGAAAAAAAAACAGACATTAAACACGGACCTCTGGAACTCCAGGGGTGGGATCAGGTGCCTAAAAGGAGTAATTTATAAGCATCCCCTGTTGATCGGTCACACCCGTCATGAGCTCTACATATTGATCAGATAGACGGAATATTCTGAATTCAAATTAAAATAACAAAGGCCTAACAATTGGTATGAAACACGTCAGCCAAAATACGACCCAGTGATATTTTATATTTGCCAACAAGGTCATTTTAACGACCATAAAATTAACGAATTTCTGACTTGTTTTTTTGAAATCTCAGTAACATAAGCTTATCATCAGTAATCTGCCTCGATTTAAAAATTGATCATACTCAGAGCATGCTCTTGAGTATCGAATACTATAGTAAGCTGTGAGACGTAAACACAATTTGCAGGTGATACCGGAATATTACTACATAAATAAGGAAAAGCTTAAATTTTGTCGTTTGTCATACAATTTAGTTGCTAGTATACACTTATCCACTGGCTGTGAGTGGGATATAGCTCTTTTATCAAACCCGCGATAGGAAACTATTCCCCGAGGGATTGCCCTAATTCCAATTAGTGCCCACTGGAATTCTAACAGATTGTTGGAAGATGTGGTCTCCAAAGACTACACAGATGTTGTCAATGAGGAACTCCAGCATCCTGGATACTAGAAAGTCAATATCTATATCATACATTAGTGCTGTATTTTTTTTTTCAAAAAAGTGAAAGAAAATATACATGTATAATCATGTATTTCTCAGAATAATTTATTAATTATGAAATATAAATCAAACCTAATATTTTATTCATAGAACATAACAAATATGCACACCATTACATCTGATTTGTAAACATTTAAACAAACAACCTCCTAAAGATTATATACCAAAATAACATATCCAATCCAAATGACTACTAGTAATAACACCAAAACTACAATAAGTCTATACATGGTTGAAACAATACAAAGAATAAAATAGCCAGAAAAGAATATATTGAAATGGTTTTGGTCTAGAATCATATGAACACATATACTCTTATCTTACAACAAAGAAATAAATATAGTTGAACTTTGGTGTCTCGAACACTCATATCTCAAATACCATGGTTATGTCAAAGTGAATTGGAAGTCCCAACCACTTTTTCTTTAAGTATTTAAACCTTGATATCTCAAATACTTGGATAACTCAAATATATTTTCTCTGTCCCTTTGAGTTTGAGTTAACAAGGTTTGACTGTAGGTGCTAAAACTAATCTAAATAAGATGAAATAAACATTGAGATAGAATGGATCATGTCAAACAATACAGTAAAAAGACTTAGTTATATTCAAACAGTTCTCTAATATGTAGCCAATAAATGAATATAATTACAACAAAGTATAATGCATAAGGAAAAAAATGTCATAACAGATAACAATATGACATTGTTTAATATAAACTTTATCATGCATCAAAATAAAAACAATCAAGAATTTGTGAACATAGTATTACATTAAATGTATCTTGTGTCTCCAAATATTATAGCATTCATCATGGTTTATATAGAATTACACATGTCTTCTGAGGTTATAAAACAAAACCGAATTGACTATCCATGTATCATATGTTGAGTCAACAGGGAAACAAACAAGAAAATAGGTATCTATTACCTACATGAATTCATGTTTAAAACCATACATTTCCTTAACACAAGATACAAGTAATTAAACAGGGCTTTTAGCACCAGTAAGATGACTAGCATGTATTGGATAAAAATCAAAAATGTGTGGCACATCAGAAAATTTGTCACTGGGCAAGGAATCATTACCATCATTGTGAGGAAAGTGGATTTTTCCCCCAGGATTTGATTTCTATAGATAAAAATTAAATAAAACAGTCCTAGTGACCACATCAATTCTAACGATGCACTATTTGGTTTTTTATGACATTATTATCTGAGTTAAAGTATCTAAAAAAAATACATCATAAGTTTTCATCAAATACGGGAATAATGAAAGTATATAATCAATAATGAAGAAAAATTATTGTGTCCATTTATGTCAATTTTAAGGCAGAATGACACTTGGCTATAAAGATAGATAACTCTTTAAAATGATAATTAGGCTTCCTTTAGGAGATCTGCGTTATCTATATTATACTTCTAATTTGCTTGAATGTCATATTTATCTCCATATTCTGTTTAAAAATTGTCAAAATTACAGAAAAAAAATTCAATTTAGTGAGCAGAGAGGCTTTCATCTTTGTCTTCCTACTTAACATTAATAAAATATACCTTTCATCAATCATGTCATCTTAATATTGTGATACAAGAATATACCCTGATAAACTAATGGTAATGAGGTATAATACAATTATTTTTTACCACCTTTAAAACACAACAGACAACAGTTATGCAATAGCAAAGGTGCCACACAACAAACTATGCCATGCTTTTGTAGATCATTCAAAAGTACATTGTGTCAAACTACGAACAAAGTATGTCAAAAAAAAAATTCTTTACATATATTTGTGTCATTTCAAGAAAAATGTTTTTTTAAAAATGACTCACACCTGAACACATCAACAAGAATACATATGTCAATAATTTTTTAGCACTAAAAAACAAGAAAATTCAACATAACGTGAACACTGCTAAACCTTTATTTCTCATTTCTATAGGAAATCTTAAATCCTAAGTGAATTAAATGAGAGAATGATAAAGATTTACTTGTTTTATTATATCTCTGTTATTTTATTCCATGTGCTGTCTTATATTCATGTTTGGGATCTACTCAAATATCAGTGATGTCATGAAAATAACAAATAAAAGCACCCTCATGGGAGAATTCCCGAGATCTCAATGCCACAGATGGCTGGATGGATTTACTGTATGACAAACTAATAAAAGTTTGAAAATGTCAAATGTCATGACGATCAACAAACATGTATGACAAGAAATCAGACCCATTTCCAAATGAGACAATATCTGTAAAATGGTTACTAATAACTTTATTTTGTGATGTATTATCTACAAGCAAAACTTAAAAAACAAGAAAAATAATTTTAAAAAATTAAGCGTAAACAAGCCACAATTAATAAATTGATCATCAATGATGATAAATCATAAAAATGAATATTAAAAATCCACCAAAAATTTTTAAAAAAATCATCCCTGAATTATGCAATGATATCTTTAAAAAATACATTATCTACTTTTGATACAATGATCTAATATATTAAAAGTATTTTCATTGAAAATAGATATATTAAAGTACTGTAAACATATACAACAATTTTACATTCAGATCATATATGTACATGACCAAGCTGTAACAAAAAATATTCTACTTTTTAGTTATGTACATTTTTTTATGTAGCTTTAACTACACATTGCAGGTTTGTATTTTTTCTACTAACTTTTATATAGATATAAGGCCTCTTCACCTCTGTGTTGAGGTAGATTATTTCTTTTTTCTGTTAAGAGACTCTGGTATAAACAAACTATACACACTTGTCAGCCACAAAAGAAATCCGAATAGAAAGAAAGAGATGTTGACATCAAAGGGTGCTCCAAGATCATTCCCAATGGACCATGCAAATACACTGCCTCCAATGGTTGGTGCTAAGGTCCTGTTAAAGTTAAAATTAAGTATGGAATTGCTATACATGTACAGGATTTTGTGTAATGAAAAATTGTTATTTAAATGTACATGTATGATACAGATCAAATTTTGGCATGTGCCAATTCCCTATCACTGTAACACAATTTAACACATGTTCTGTCACAAATAAAAACACATATTTCACTGATTCTTGATTAAAAACTGTTATATTAACTACATGAAATAATTTGTGAACTGACCTTGCAATAGCTGTGGCTGTCATGGCGATACCGTTGACAGAACCTGCCATGTGAGAAGGGGATGAGTTGTTCACAAAAAGGGATGTTGCAGTAAAGGAACAACTTGTCATGATTTTTTGTGGAATAATCACAATTAGCAGAATTGTCCATAACAAAGACGAGGAACTGAAATATAAGAGAGGTCAAATTCATTATCTTCAAATTTATCCAACAAACATTAAAGCCTCAACCATAGTTCTGTTAATTACTTTCATAAATTCTATTTTTCCAATGTAAAAAAGAAACAACAACACAGTATTATTCACTTTAACACAAGTTTAAAACAAAAGTGCTTCCTTATCTGAGGTGTAGTACTGGAATACTGTGTTATACAAACCTAGATTCCAAAAGATGTAACACGGGCGTTACAGTCATCAGAACTCCATTAATAAAACCACAGATAATGAAAGTCTGAAAAACAATACTAGTATTTTTAATAGTGTAACATAAAGTATTTAATATACATGTACATCTAAAGCCCCTGTCACACTGTAACGATTTATGGCTAAGATTCATTACGAATTCAAAAATCGCAGCAAATCGGGCTTTATCGTAGAGGTAGTCGAAGGATGTCTTCCTTTTTCGTGTTGAATCGCAGCAAATCGCAAAACTCTGCGATTGTTTTGAGCATGTTCAAAACAATCAAGGACACAGCAGGATTTTTATGTATTCGTAGACAATTGCACAACACCCGCACTGCATTCATACACAAATTCATAGTAAATCTTCGACATTCATGCGACTTTCGTGGAACTTCGTAGTACTCGTGATACTGCAAGTGTCATTCGAGTTACTGTGATTGCCCTACGAAATACTGCGAATGTTCTTCGAATTGATAAGAACATAGTAAGAATTTCCAAGGAATATGATACGAAAAAGGACGATTGATGGCTAGTACTGTTCAACTGAACTACGAGTTAATACGATGTAGGCAGATGCCGTCTGATGTTAACCCTTTTGAAATGAAATTACCACCTAAAATAAAAAGGAAAGATGTAAGAAAAGTGAAAGAAACTGAAAATGCATGTACCTATAAAGACCTTGTTCAATAAATTTATAAAGAAATTGAACATAATCAAAAGCTTCACACTGTGACTTTTACCCTGATCAAATAACTTTTACTATGATGTTTAATAATTTCAAACAACTCTCTCTTTATTCTATATGCAAATCGTCACTAAACGTAGGAATATCATGTATGGATAGTGTCATATCGTATTCCTTCGTACGAGTATCGTATGTAATCGTGTTTTATCCTTAATAATCATAGAAATATCGTAACCAGATCATAATGCAAGTGAATAAGTTCGTACTTAAATCGTACAAACCTCGTACTTTGTCACATAGACATTGTAGACACACCATTCTAGCAGCAAAAAAAAAAAAACACACGCTAAGGAAAAATCGCAAGACTAATCTGGCAAATAGCAGCGATTTGCAACTTTTTTTAATTCATGGGTTATCATAGCATAAATTGTGATAGTGTGACATGGCCTAAAATAGTAGGAATGTTGTTTTGTTTTTGTTTCTGTTTTATAATTCCATTTTTAAAAGTTAAAAATAACAAATATTAAAGATACCCACATGTGTTTTTTACTAGAAATTTACTTCCATAGGATATGAAACATCATCTTGTGAAAATGTCCTCAAAGAGGATTTGGGGGGGGGGGGGGGGGGGGGAGGTTGTATAAAATAGTTCTTTACCAAAATTCAAAAAATGAACTCAGGGCAAAATAAGGATACATGGAAGTCAATGTCAGAAAATGTTGACACAGTTGAATTCATGTTTGTTGAATATATCTTGAACAATTTCTTTGAAACTGAACTTAAAAAAGCAGGAAAAGTTGGGTCAAGGTCATGGTGAAGGTAAAACTTGAATTGCTTTTATCAAAATGACCATCTGTGCTTCAAGCTGATAAAATATCTTGAACAGTTACCTTGAAATTGAGATAGATTCAATAAGACAAAATGTGAGGTCATGCAAGGTCATATGGAAGGTCAAGACTAAAAAATTCGATTCAGTTGAATTTCTCTCATCAGTATATATCTGATTATCACCTTATCAAGTTAAATAAAATATCATGAACATTTAATTAATAAAACTTATCTACATACATAATGAATAAAGTGGTGAGGAGTTCAAGGTCAAAATGTTATTAAGCAGTTGAATCACTCTCACTAATATATAAGTTTATGTAGGAAGTCTTTTTGAATTATTTTGAGCAGTTTCTTTAAACCTATGCTATAGACAAATTGAGGAAAACTGAGGTTAATACCAAAGTTGAAAGTCAAAATATTTCGATAGATAGTTGAATTGCTCTTACCAATACATATCTGCATATGATGTTTGATAAAAATATATAAATTCTCTTTGAACCTGCATGACCAAAATACAAAGTAAGACATACAGAAGAAAAGACAATGGGATGCAAGGACAGAAAGCTGGAAGTAAGAAGCACTGTATGTCCTGGCCGTATACCTAACAAACACAGAGAAATGCTGATGTACAGAGCAATGTAATCTAGCTCATTTTATTTTGAATTTGCTGATTTTCATTTCTGGAATTTTCCATAGCATTTCAGACAATTTTTATTTTCATTTCTGACATTTATTTTTTTTCATTTCTGGAATTTTTGCAGGGTACCTCTCCGACAATTTAATGTTAACCAAGTAGGTGGAAATGGAATTTTAAAAGAATGTATTTCAAACCACATTTTCAAAATATGCCTTATAATTTCCATCCTAACATATCTGATTTCAAACTTAAACTGAACATTTGAAAAGTAGATGAGCGAAAAAGTTCACAACACTTACAAGTGCCTCAGGGAAAGAAAAAAATCTTTAATTTTTGTTTCATTGATAGCTAGGCAAAAATTTATTTGGACTTCAAAGATTTATTCATGATTTAATCTTTAAAATTTTTATAAGTGAAGTCTTCAATCTTGCTTTCATTGCCGAAAAGTACTATCTGAAAAATGTCAGAAATGAAAACCATAAAATGTCGGAAATGAAAAATTGAAAATTTAAGGTCAAGATCTAGTGAATGAAAGGTGCCTACAGATTTCTCAACTTTGAGAAATAAATTCTTTCAGTGATGCTTTATAACTTTAGCTTGGTCAAATAAGGTGTTTTGGGGCATTATTTGTAGGTAAACAAGATGAAAAATCATATTTTAAACTGTCATTTTTAATGAAAAATTAAGACAAGAGGCCCATGGGCCACATCGCTCACCTGAGCACATTGGCTAGGCGAAAGCACAAATCAGTTCAGTATTGAAAAGAATTACTGGAGGGGGGGGGGGGGGGGCTTGAATTCTAAACAACCTGATGGTGCTTCCATGTCAATATAACAAATGGCTTTGTTGTACTTGAGAAGATTTTTTAAAAAATTTCCCATATATTCCTTTGTTAAAATTTGATCCCCCATTGTGGCTCCTCCCTATCCCAGGGGTCATCATTTGAACAAACTTGAATCTACGCTACCTGAGGATGCTTCCATATCAATATGACTAAACATAGCTTTTCTGTTCTTGAGAAGAAATATTTTTTCTATATGTTCTTATGTAAAAACTTTCGATCCCCCATTGGGCCCCACCCTACCCCTGGGGGTCATCATTTGAACAAAATAGAATCTACACTACCTGAGGATGCTTCCATATCAAAATGACTAATCAGGGTTTGCAGTTCTTCAGAAGAAGATATTTTCCTATATATTTCTATTTAAGACTTTGATCCTCCATTGTGGCCCCACCCTACCCACGGGGTCATGATTTGAACAAAATAGAATCTACACTACCTGAGGATGCTTCCAAATAAATATGATCAATCATGGATTTGCTGTTCCTGAGAAGAAGATTTTTTAAATTTTTCCTATACATTTCTATGTAAAACTTTGATCCTCCATTGTGGCGCAGCCCTACCTCCGGGGGTCATGATTTGAATAAATTTGAATCTACACTACCTGAGGATGCTTCCATATAAATATGACCAATCTGGGCTTTGCTGTTCCTGAGAAGCAGATTTTTCCTATATATTTCTATGTAAAACTTTGATAGTCCATTGCGGCCCCGCCCTACCCCCAGGGGTCATGATTTGAACTAACTTGAATCTACACTACCTGAGGATGCTTCCATATAAATATGACTCATCATGGCTTTGCTCTTCTTGAGAAGAAGATTTTTAGAGATTTTTCCCATATATTTCTATGTTAAACTTTGATCCTCCATTGTGGCCCCGCCCTACCCCCAGGGGTCATGGTTTGAACTAACTAGAATCTACACTACCTGAGGATGCTCCATATAAATATGACTCATCATGGCTTTGCTGTTCTTGAGAAGAAGATTTTTAAAGATTTTTCCTATATATTTCTATGTAAAACTCTGATCCTCCATTGTGGCCCCGCCCTACCCCCAGGGGTCATGGTTTGAACAAACTTGAATCTACACTACCTGAGGATGCTTCCATATAAATATGACTCATCATGGCTTTGAAAAGTTTACAGACAGACAAATGGACAGACAGACAGACAGATGCCGGACAAAATGTGATCAGAAAAGCTCACTTGTCAATGAGCTTTCAGCTCAGGCAAGCTAAAAACCAGTCATGAATAAAGGAGTTTTTTTCCATATCAGACAAAGGAAATGTATCAAGATTGCCTACAGTCTCTCAGACACGGTAAATTGTATGTTCTTGGCCTCTTCTTTAAAATAACATTAAATTGAATATAGGTATCAGGATTACTTTTCACATGATTTCAAATTGAATTCCATGAAAATACTTTATTTTCTACGTAATTCTATTAGAGCCGTAAAGTAGGGGAAAAAGAAAGTTGAAATTGATTATGACGTCATAATGGATCTAGAACCAAAAAGACAGTCTAAAGTCATTTACTAGATCTTGACCTTAAAAAAATTCTGGAAATGAAATGCAGCCTTTGAGTTAATACCTTTTTGGTTCCAAATATCCTGTTAAGAAGTGGGTAGATGAACAGATTCAGAGCCAACATAGGAAATGATGCCAAGCCAAGAACCATACCAATCTCGTTTGTCTCAAACCCTAGGCCATCTGATAAAAAATAAAGATCAGGTTATTTTCTTAAAATGTACATCCTGTCTAGAGAAGCTACTTGTCAACCTTAAATCTGTATGTTTGAACAACAGATGAAACACAATTATTATTTTTTCTTTGATAAATACAAAAAATGTTGAATCCTCTTTTTACATTTTTTCTTTTTATTCTTTCTTCTCAAAAATTCTAAGATTATGTCTATTCTGAGAATGAAATACACATGTAACTGTAGATTAATTTAAGATTGCAATTTGTTATTATGATTGTAGGAGAAATACTACCGTAATATGTCTTGGTAGATGCCCAGATTGTAAAAATTTCTTCAAAACCAATGGCAGAGAAGGAAAACACAGTGTACAGAAAAACAGCTGTTCTACAATCAGGCATACTGAAAGTAAAATTTAAAAATTCAATTAATATAAATCATGTCATGCATATATGATTGAGACAAACAGGTTATAAAATTCAATCTGTTTATGTCCTGTCATGATGAAAAACATTATACATTTATTGACTGGGTTCGAGGGCAACATGTGCTTTAACAGAACCCAAGAGCCAAACTGTTTGCCCAAGGCCGTTAGGCCGAGGTCAAACAGTTTGGTTCGAGGGGTCGGCAAAACACATTTTGCCCGAGAACACAGTCAATAAATGTTTTGTTGTACCTTTTATTTATTTATTTGTTATACATGTATCTTTTGCTGGCTTCCACACCAATGAATGCAAATAAGATCTAGCTGACCCCCCCCCCCCCCCCCCCCCCCGTGTGTCGTAAGCGGTTCAATATCTCGTCCACAGGACCAATCGTCCACAGGACCAATATCTTACTTTGCGGTCAATCATTGATTTTTTATGACCGCTCAGCAAAACATTAGAAATGTTAGACATTTTTAGTATAGATTTATATAGGAACTAATTTTTAAAAGTATAACAATGTAAAATATACAAGAGGCCCAAGGGCCTTAACGGTCACCTGAGAACAATACAACAATTTAGAGGATCCATAAACTGATAAATGAAGCTTTGTTGCCCAAAAGCAAGAAAAACAGTATGATAAGCATCAACAAAATAATTGGTATAGAATCTATCTGTCCCCCATTTATCATTATTACCATGCAGACTATTAACAAAATGTCTATTTTTATTACACTACTTCTCACATTGGTCTCTCTTGGCCTTTGAAGAACATTAAAAAAGATAAAGTTATTTTTGCCTCACTTTTATTCATCTATTATTTCCAAGTCTACCTGATCATTAAAACTACGAAAGTACTTTTTGTATTATACAATAAATATTCTTGCATAATTCTCTTATTCTATTAACCTTTCAGATACATTATTTACAGTGGTGAATGGCAAAGGGGAATAACTTTGCTCAGCAGAATACAAGTTCATAGAGCCCTGGCCAGGACCTGAACACTTGACTATATAATCCAGGTGTTCAAAATTCTGGTAAAAATACCCTTGCATATGAAAACTTTTACTCTGTTTGCCTCGAATATGCCCAGAAGCATAGATTTTCAAAGAAATGCATGTTCACTATATTATTAAATAAATAACCCCCCCCCCCTTACACCAGAACATCTTACCCAGGGGCCATGAACTCACAATTCTGGAAGAAGCACTTTGCTCATCATAACTATACACTTGTTTCTTTGCTCTATTACCAGAAGTAGAAAAAATATTTTGAAAGAAATTATGCATTTTCACTATAAAATCAATAGAGCCCCCCTCCCCCTTCACCAGAACCCCTGACCCAGGGGCCATGAATTTCACAATTTTGGAAGAGGCATTCTTCCTTATCATAACCATGCACTTCCTTTGTTCGAATAATACCCAGGAGCAGAGAAGAAGATTTTGAAAGAATTTATGCATTTTCCCTATATAATCAATAGAGCCCCGCCCTATCACCTGAACCCTTCACCCAGGGGCCACGAAGTTCACAATTTCTGAGGAGGCAGCCATGCTCATCATAACTATGTACTTAGTTTATTTAATATCCAGGAGCAGAGATTTTCAAAGAAATAATGCATTTTCACTCTATATATAAATTGAGCCCCACCCTGACACCAGAACCCCTGACCCAAGGGCCATGAAATTCACAATTTTGGAAGAGGCAACCATGCTCATCATAACTATGCACTAAGTTAGTTTATTTAATACCCAGGAGAAGAGGAGAAGATTTTCAAAGATTTAATGCAAATAATCAATAGAGCCCCACCCTAACACCTGAACCCCTGACTCAGGGGCTATGAAATTCACAATTTCTGAAAAGGCAGCCATGCTCATCATATCTATGTTCTTAGTTAGTTTATTTAATATCCAGGAGCAGAGAAGAAGATTTTCAAAGAATTAATGCATTTTCACTATATAGTCAATAGAGCCCCACCCTAACACCAGAACCCCTGACCCTTGGGTCATTAAATTCACAATTTTAGAAGAGGCACTCTTGCTCATCATAACTATGTACTTAGATACTTTATTTAATACCCAGGAGCAGAGAAGAAGATTTTCAAAGATTTAATGCATTTTCACTATATAGTCAATAGAGCCCGACCCTAACACCAGAACCCTTGACCCTGGGGCCATGAAATTCACAATTTTGGAAGAGGCACTCTTGCTCATCATAACTAAGTACTTGGTTAGTTTATTTAATACCCAGGAACAGAAAAGAAGATTTTCAAAGAATTAATGCATTTTCACTATATAGTCAATAGAGCCCGACCCTAACACCAGAACCCTTGACCCTGGGGCCATGAAATTCACAATTTTGGAAGAGGCACTCTTGCTCATTATAACTATGTACTTAGTTACTTTATTTGATACCCAGGAGCAGAGAAGAAGATTTTCAAAGAATTAATGCATTTTCACTATATAATCAATACAGCCCCACCCTAACACCAGAACCCCTGACCCTGGGGCCATGAAATTCAAAATTTTGGAAGAGGCACTCTTGCTCATCATAACTATGTACTTAGTTACTTTATCTGATACCCAGGAGCAGAGAAGAAGATTTTCAAAGATTTAATGCAATTTCACTATATAATCAATAGAGCCCCGCCCTATCACCTGAACCCCTGACCCTTGGGCCATGAAATTCACAATTTTGGAAGAGGCACTCTTGCTCATCATAACCAAGTACTTAGTTAGTTTATTTGATACCCAGAAGCAGAGAAGAAGATTTTCAAGGAAATAATGCATTTTCACTATATGATCTATATAGCCCCGCCCTAGCACCAGAACCCCTGACCCTGGGGCCATGAATTTCACAATTTTGGTAAAAGGCTAAATGCTTTTTACAATCATGCCAACAGTTTGACTGCTTGATGTCCAGGAGTAAAGAAGAAGATTTTTAAAGATTGCATTAATTTGGTGGTTTTAGCCCTACCCCTCAAGCCCAAGGGGGGCAGGGACCATGAAATCCAAAATTTTTGTTCCCCTTCACCCATAGATGCTATATACCAAATTTGGTTGAAATTGGTTGAGCGGTTTCAGAGAAGAAGCTAAAAATGTTCAAATGTTAACGCAAGTCGCATGACGACGGACGAAAACGGATAGCAAAAGGTCACCTGAGTGACTCAGGTGACCTAAAAATGTTTCACCAATTTTTGGTGATTTTTTTTCAGGGTTTGATTGGCTGCATGTAACAACAATAAATTAATGTCAGAAAGAGCTATTGAAAGCTTATCATGAACACATGCACTGTTTTATTTATATATAATTAGGTATTAAATGGAATTTTATTGTACCAGTGCTCATCTTACACTACATGTAATTGTGTAAATTAGGTATGGTAAAGTCATTTCCCACATACATGTACACAAAAGAAAACTGGCATTCCTATATCAACTTTATACTGTTTTTTGCCTCGAAAAATGACACCAAAACATCAGATATATTTATGTAACCATCTATTTGCTTTTAACTCTGTAATATATAGACTATCCCGGTATTTTACAGATGAAAACAGTGATGTAAGTGAAGATGGAAAGCTAGCCCTCTTGTAGAGTCTGATATTAACAATGGGATGCATTACTCAACCTCAGAATTCAGTTACACTCATCTACCTGAAATTCAGGTTCAGATCCAAGGTTGAAAGGAATAATTAATTCCTTGGCATATTTTATTCTAGGAATCATGTCTCCACTTTCCATGGTAGAGAATCCATCATTTGGGCATTTAGTGAGAATGTTAGCCGGAATAAAACCTTAAAAGAATCTGCACTGAAACTGCAGGAACACATTCAAACTTCAGTGGATAATATCAACATTTACCATTTAAATATTGCCTTGATATTTGAAGGGATAAAAACTTGGAAGTAATCGATTATTAATCGATTACATCTTCCAAAGTAATCGATTACAATCGATTACAGGACAAAAATGAGTGTAATCAATTAATAATTGATTACACAAAATTCCTCTAAGTAATCGATTATTAATCGATTACATTTTTCAGCAATCGTGCCCATCCCTGACCTGAATATCTTATATAAAGTTGTTCTCTTCATTTTATCTAGGACACTCCTGGATGTATTTTCTTCTATTTCCTCTACTTCACCAGACAGCATTTTCCCATTTTCAGATGATGACCTTTGTCTGACCCCTGCCATGTTTGAGTCATGTGACTTGTGTAGTTCCTGACAGGACTGGTACAGTTTGACCTCATATACTGCTCTCTCCGTGTGACAGTGAAGATCCTCGGCCGACATCGATATCATCCTGTCCGTCTGGCTTGTTTGGTTCTTTGAGAGCGGAGCCAACTTCTGAAGTTCTTCATTTCGTTCCTCAACTTCAACTTCTAATTCCTCTTGTCTGTAATGAATTTTAAATCATTAAATATAATATAAAACAGCTATTTTTCATGATAACTTTTATTTATGGTTTGTCAGTTTGAAATCCATCTGCCACTATAATTTTTTGTGACTGAGGAAAGATTCTACATAAATACACAATTGGATACAGTTGAACTTCAGTATCTTGAACTTTGAATACCACGGATATGTCAAAGTGATTTAAAAGTCTCAACTACCATTTTCTTGTTGTATTTTAGTCTCAATAACATCAACCTTCAGATATCTCAATTTTTTTTTCTCATGGTCCCATTGAGTTCAAGATAATTTGACTGTAAATGGTTTGTGGCAATAAATATTAACAAAGAAGGACAAATTGCACATGAATAAAAGATTGGTCAACTGTATTGCTGTATTAAATTTAGAAATGTGACTGTTCTAATTTATTTCATCTTACATTTTCTTAGAGGTATGTAAAATGAAACATGTTTAAAAAAAATGATGCATCCAATTTAAAATAAACGTTCACACTGTCTCACTTTTTGTTCCTGGTTTCTGGTAAAGCTATCAAGTCAACAACAAAACCCACAAAACAGGCACATGCTACAATCAGACTGGGGAGTAGGTATGGAAACTGACCAAACACTCCATCCGAGGGGAACACAGAAGGGTATCTCTTGGCTGGTGTGGCTAACAAACCTAAGGATAATAAAATCTTAATGATAGATATGCACACTGTGTCATATTGCAAATTATTGGTAAATGTCGCAAATTATCAAAGAATTTTTCTGTAATATTCTACCATTCCTAATAATATTTTTAGCACATGTTCACACAAATTATAATTCTTGGGAAATTGTTGTTCTATGACGGTTGTTTTCCACATAAATATACCTGGTACATGTACAAGGGGTTTTTTTTCAGACTCTTACCCCCAACAGCCGGTCCCAGTATGATCCCTGCTCCCCATGACATGGAAATTATGGACATGCCAATGGCTTGATTTGTGTCATCTGAAATCTCATACAGGATTGACTTAGAAACGCCAACTGTACCTAAGAAGAGAATTTGAAGCATAATAAAAAGCAGAAAAAAATTCCACAGAAGATGTTCGTATTAACCTTATTCATGTATTTTAAAGTCTTGGACAAATTATCATGCTAAATTCTTGCATTGTGAGGGAATAATTTTAGTAAAAATGGACTAGAATGAAAGCATTTAATCATGCATTGCTTACATGGTAGACTTGTAGTGACATAAGAATTAAATATTTTGCATGGTAGTTTTTGGTAGATATCCATAAGGATTACGTTATCTGGCATCTGTCAGTTTGTAAAACTTTTTTCGAAATAAATATATGTAAGTATATGTAGTATGATGAAACACCTGATATGCTTAAAGCTAGCTTATAGGCCAGGACAGGTATCGGTTTATTTAAGAGTCTTTTAAATCACTTTATAATACATCCACCAGTTGACAAATGTTTTCCTTCCATGCAGTGAAACATAACACATGTACTTCTGTTTGAGGAAAGGGTTAATTAAAAAAAAATTTTTAAAAATGAAGAAAAATACCTACCATTGACTAAACCAGCTAAAAATCTGGTGACAAGAGCCATAGGTAGGTTAAATGTAAATCCAAACAGTAAGCAGAAAAAGCCATTTAGAAATATGGTCATTAGCATGACTGGTCTCCGTCCCATTTTATCTGACAACCAACCCCAGAAAAAGCTGAAATATAATGAAATGAAACATGGGTGTTTTTTTTTCCAAATCAATTTATTTGAATGTTGAGATAGAGTTACTTTGATTCACAGTTACAGTCAGAGTTTAGTTTTTTACCTTCCCATTGCTCTCCCAGCAAACACCATGGAAGCTACCAAACCTGCATAGTAACCCTTGTCTGTTTCTTGGTAACCAAAGAACTGTTTGAGAGAATGGAAATAATCTTAAGTATCATTTTAAAATCAATGAAACGATCTACTGGTGTGTGTTAAGAGACTTGCTTCTTACCAAAATCATCTCTGGCAGGAAAGGGAATAGAAATGTCAAACTGATAGAACTTGTAAACTGAAATAAAAGATGCAGAAAATAAATCTTTATTTTAAAGTCCTTTCAATGCTATTTTGGTTTACAGTACTTGTGGACTGTAACTACATATTATTAAGTTTTGCTTTCTATGTGGTAATGTCAAAATTTAGTGATTGGTTCATTTTCAAGCTTATAATTTAAATCAAGTGCCTCAGTCTAAAGAGAGAGAGAGCACACATGTTGGTCTAGAAGTAAACCAGTATTGAAAACAATATCTGCATTTCAAACTCTTATAATTTTTTATAGACTTGTAGGACTAGAATATGAATTAAATTTTTTTTTTGAGAACCTTTGTTTTACCATTGATACAAAAACTAGTCCTATCATTTTCCAGTTCACTGGTGTGGCATCTTTGGGTGTAATTCTTATTTTATTTTTAGCAGTCTTCCATATAGATGATCTCCTCCTTGTACTTTTGTTGACAGATAGGTCCACACCATTGCTATCTACTTTTTCTCCTGGAGAAATTTCCTCCATGTTTACCACAGTCCCTGTTGGCTTGTCACTGCCTTGTCTTTCAGTCATGACTGCTTGTCATGTATAATGCTACAGATAAAACAAAAATACATGCATAGCAGATAGGTTTTTTTAATGCATTATTTTACAATGGAAATTAATTAATCATTACTTCTGGTAAATCAAATTCCAAATATCAAAATATTTACAATGTGAATTCCTATCCAGTTGTACTATTCAAACAAATGCCACTATACATACAATGCTAGCAATAACCTCTGGCTCTGGAATTTTCATATTTTCACTCTGCACATTCAAAAATGGTTCAAATATAGGCTGAGAATACTGATACCCCCATCCCATCCAACTAGACATTGTCCATTCACTTTCAAAATTGATGCTGAGGGCTTGAGAATAAATATTACATCATAGCTTGACCACTGTACAAAAGTGATCCAAATAACATGTAACTCAGTTCTCTGAATTGGGTATCACTTAAAAATACTTTACGGCAGGTTAAAATACTTTTGACTTTTGTTATTTACAGTATGTGGAAACAAGAAATTTCACATTTTTAAAAAGTTTTTGAAAGAGCTGTAGGATGTCTGATACATGTATTAAAATAATTAATAAACAACTTGCCTTTTGAGCAGAATGTGTAACCCTGGACAAAAAGATGCTGGAGAAAAGTATCCTTTCAAGTTTGGAAGAATTGCTACTAATGTCTAAGTTAATTCTGCAGAATATTTGGAGGAGTAAAATTATTCTTAAAAAATCAGCAGGATGTAATTTATTTATATGGGGTTTTACCACTAGAACTCAACTAAAATTTAAGTAAAATCCTAAAAAAAATTTGAAAATCTTCAAGAACTGACTTTAATGGTAAGAACTAAATATTTCTTAAGTCAATGCAGTCATTCATGTTAAAGCAAACAAATTGGTTGCTGAAATTAAAATGTTTTGTACTTTTTGAGTAAAAAATTATTTTAAACACTTATAGTACCAAAACAGTAGTGACAAATAACATTTCATCATATATTAATCTATGTCTCAAAAACAAAAATTAATTCAATTTTTTTTAAATCTAGATCTACGATATGTCAAGAAAACAGTATTTTTGACAGTTACACAACATAACTACCATTTTCTGTATTCTTGGTTCTATGAAAAATATCTTTCCTAAACTTTGTCTCTTGCAAGAGACATAATATACACATACTTATATGTAGAATATTGATTGTGTTTGGGACTTGTGGATCTCCTCACAAAGTGAAAGTTTTGTTTGAGGAAAAACCATTACATATGGAAGTCAAGGACACAGCTTTAGCAACTAGGCTAAATATACAATTTAATATGCAATACCCGTGTTTAAAAAAATAAAAAAAAGCCTGAAGTCGCAATCTATTTTTGATAAGTAAGACTGTTATTTGTGGATCATTTCTACACAGTGAAAAATTAGTCGTCATCTACTGCGATGTGCCCAATTGTCAACTTTAGGAGTAACAAATGCTCACACGTTTTTTACATCTAGTTAAAATAAATCATACCTGTTCCAAGCTTTTTCAATCCCTTTAACTCAGAGAAACCAAATGCCATCCTCAGTTTTCCTTGAATGTCATCTCACGCAATACGCCGGTAGATTTCCATTATGAAATCAGCTGCAAAAATTTCCACGGAAATTGATGATGCTCGCTAAACATAAAATTTACGTTGCTCACGTTGATTCCGGATTGTGTGTAGTGGATCCCCCCCCCCCATCAATCAATCATTAGATAAGTTCATCCCCTTCCCATCTCCCCTTTCTAATTTTTTCTTTTTGCCTGATAAACAGTTTATGTATCGGTCGAAAATGAGATAGTTACAGATAGAAATACGTGTACTTCTTGTAAGTCTCAAAGACACAGTTTTGAAGGAAAACGCCGAAATATTTATGGAAGTGTCGTACCATACTCATTGTAGATTAAATCATCGTCTCAAAAAAAAAAAAACAACAACAAACAAACAAACAAAAAACAAAACCCAAACAATCAAAATCAGAATGGACACTCATTTGATTAGAGCTTATATTTCCTCGGAATTTAGTTGAGGGGAAAACCAAGTTTATTATTTACAACCCAACCCGGTTTCTCCCTATAAGATGATTTAATTAAATCAGCCTTGCAATAATTGTCAAACAACTTTTCCTGAGTACAAAATGAACAATAAAAGAGTGAACTTTTCATGGTGTGATATTTTTGTGTGAAATCAAGGCGGATCCAGCCCCCCCCCCCCCCGTTTGATTTTTTTTCCGCTAGGGGCTTCGATGCAGCCCCCAGACCCCCTGCCTTCTACTGCCCCCCCCCCCTCCCCCGTTATGAAATTCCTGGATCCGCCACTGGAAATTAAGCAATTGTTTCCCTAGTCCGAAATACCTGACGTTTTCCAGTAAAAAAAAATCGTGAAAACGCCTGGAAAACGTCATACATTTCGGACTAATATTACTTTCCTAAAGCAATATGTGCTGTTTCGGTTTTAATGCATGAGCTATTTTACGTTCATATCTAGTAGTTTATTGGGTTTTTTTATCAAAAAGTTTTATGCCCGGTCCAGGTCATTGATACGAAAGCCTATTAGGATCAAACTACGGTAAAAAAAAATTAAAAGGCGTTATAACGTATCTATATCCGTATAAACGGATATAAGCGGTTCCTCGCGTCATAAACGTTCGACGTAATTTCTCAGTGACGTCATAAAGGGTAGACGCGCAATCAGTGGATCAAACACGTGCCGTTGGGTTTGAAAAATAAAACGTTTCAGGCGTTAAAGATTATAATCAGGCAAATATAAAATATGAATAAGTCACAAATGTAAATATAAGTAATAAGGTATCATTTTAAAACATCTATCGGGCTATAAATACGGGTTGGTACAAGATCAAATTAACCATAAAGCCCTTCGGGCTTTATGGAATTTGATCTCGTGACCAACCCGTATTTATAGCCCGATAGATGTTTAAAAATGATACCTTATTTCTTAAATAACGCCTTTAATTTTTTTTTACCCTAGTTTGATCCTAATAGGCTTTCATACATTGAAGTACATCAAGCTAATTAATTTTTTTTTGTATTTATATTAAATTGAATTTAAATTTGAATTCTTTGATGAAAAATGTAAGAATATGAAATAAATATAATGTTTCCATTGGGATACCATGCAGGATGTTTAAGGAATCACTGTCTAATTTGTTGAGTATGCCAGGGCATCAACGATAGTTGATACATTAAGGACTGGAATTTTTTACCAGCTTCTATTAAATGTACTAAAGGAAAGAGTACTTTTAAGAAACAAGTTAAGAGTTTTATCTTACAAAACGGCATTTTAGAACATGTGATATGTTTCAGCATTAACTTATAAAACATATTTTATTATTTTATTGATCCTATATATTGTCATACTTAAATTAAATTTAACGTGTTAGCAACGCAGTGCTAAAATTATTGTGCCAAAAATTGTTATAGTGCTTTAATGATGAAACATTGTATTTTTATCTTATTTAGGGTAGGACCCCATTGGAAATAAGCTCTCCAGCTTTAATGGGTTATCCTGGTATCAACTGGTCACTATCTAAAATATGGTTTCCTGAATATCTATTTATAAATCTAATTAAAATTTATGGATTCTCAAATATTGTCTTTCAAATGATTATGTATATTTATGTGTATTTGTTTTATGTATGATGACATATGATACCAAATAAATGATGATAGTTGGAAACGTGGGATGATTTGCATAACGGGCGAAACCTATTGCTAAAATTTTCTTCATTCTTTGATGTAATTTCCAAGGATTCCTATGAACTTAAGACTTCATGAAATGTCAATAATTAAAATAAAACCGTCATTTTCAAACCGAATGCCTCAAACATTTCAAATTTAGTCGAATATCAGTGAACTGCAATGTTTTCACGAATTGGTGAGAATACAAAATAAGACCTTTATGTATCCAACAAAACACACGTGAGAAGAAATCCTATGACACTTAAAAGAGATTTCGTCATTTCTTCAAAAAATTCGACATCCCTACCCAAATAAAGCATGAGAAGTGTTAACAGAGAGAGAGAGAGAGAGAAGGGAGGTTTGGGGGAGCAAATCCTCAGATTGTTTAGAATATCTCAGGAACGGTAGCGTCGTTTTTCGGAGGGGAGGGGGTCCAGAGAATAAAAAAATACTATTCTAGAGAAAAATGTGGGGAGGGGGGCTTCACATAGGAAATATTGTCCACGTTGCACAGTTTTTTTTTCTTATTTGCCATTTTACATTTTTTCTTCTTATTTTGCTTTAAGTCTTAGTGTTACCTATTGAATTCATAATTTGCTTTATCCTTAAAGTACTAATCATGGGGGTATGGATTATAGCCCCCTCCCAAAATACAAAAAAAAAAAACAAAACAAAACAAAACAAAACAAAACAAAAAACAATTTAATAACAAAAGGTAAGTTAATTAAAGCTGGGTTATACGATTCCATTTCTTAAAGACATGACCAAAAACAAAAAAAAACAAAACAAAACAAAACAAAAAAAAAACAAAAAACAAAAAAAACGACTAAGAAGCTGATATAGTTACATGTACCATGTTATAGGTCAGTCATGCTGCATTGCACGTCAGGCGAAACCTGAAACTTTGTAGCCTATAGGGATATTTGAATAGGATTCGGATTAAAAAAGAAGTTTTGAACTGATTTTATGGAAAGTAACTGAAAACGAGCATGAAAGTAAGAAAACTACTGGTGAACTACTGAGGCCGTCTTCAATTTCAGTTGCGCACATATTATATGATGCTCTAAAAAATTAAGAATAATGCTTTTAAAAAGTCCATGTCACTAGATATGGTTTAAAACTGCCCCTCCCATTCGAAAACCATAGTTATAAGGCTCAGGTGACACATTAAACTGCATATGCACTGCTATTGTCTGTAAGGGAAAAAAATGAAATTCTCATAATTTTTCATAATTTAATTAACTTCATCCGAATCTATCTTCCTTCTTTAATTCGAAAGAAGATTCAGCAAATCAATTAAGAGATCGAGCTCCATTAACTATGCTTAATGTATATAAATGAAATGAATGATTCTACTTCTTTCTTTTTCTTTTTTTTCCCAAACAACGATGACAAAGCTTCTTTTCTTGATTAGTATAACACTGAATGAATTCAACAGGCTGAAGAAGCACCAGGGTTGAACATTTGTTTTATTTGTCAGCAGAGACATAAATTATGTCTCTGTTGTCATTTTTATTTTTTGTTTTAATTTAATAAAAGTGCTATTAAATCCATAAGTTATTCAAAAAAATATATATAGTGACTTAATGGTACTCAAATCGTTTGTTCGAAATGTTACTCAGAAAAAGGAATTATCATAAAAGGGAAAATGGCAGTCTGATGTTTGGTAAAATTCACAATTATTTAGATAATAATGTGATAATAAAACGTGTGAAATTTTCTATAAAGTTTTTGCTTTTTTCTCGGAAAGAAATATTGCAGTCTGTGTATTGATCGTTCTATGTCCGATTTTAGCCAATGATAAAGCTCGTAATATACATCTCCCCAACCAGTCAGCACTGCCGAACTAATTAATATTTACACTGCAGAGTATGGACTCATTTGATATGCACGGTGAAAAGCTCGGATTCAGCGGATGATTTTGGGAGTTATGTGTGAATTTCTGAGACAGAATGGCCGTACACATACTCGGGATGAATTATCTGTGAGTGTGGAGTGTTAAACAAGGTTGAGGAAGGAAACACAACCCGCCGAGTCGATTTTGTTTTGGGAAGGTAGAATCGAATTTAGACAAAATGGCGGATTTAGAAGCTGTCCTGGCCGATGTTAGTTACTTGATGGCGATGGAGAAGAGCAAGTCAACTCCAGCTGCCCGTGCAAGCAAGAAAATTATTTTACCTGACCCTAGGTACCAAAGTTTAATCGTGATAGAATGCTTTATCGATATAAGGTCCTTTTCGATTGATCAGTATCGTCGAGACAATGTGGGTTCCCAAAGGGGTTTTCTCGCAATAATAAAAGTCAATATAGAAATAAATGTGATGATAATTTATATTTCAGCGTCCGGAGCGTGATGCACAAACACCTCACAAAAATGGGTGAAGTGACATTCGACAAAATCTTTGGCCAGAAATTGGGTGAGTGTGGGGATAAGATACGGAAGTGTTCATTGTATCACATGATACACACGACTGACAGACGAAGGGAAATCTAATTACCACAAACGCCCTGGAACCCCCAAGTCCCCACATTTTGATAAAACCAAATGAGTTTTTTTTAAATGTTTTGAAATAAAAGAGCAAAGAAATTAATGAATTAAGGATTAGGGGTTAATTAAGAGAAGTACAGCATTGGGAAATTGCAGATGTAAACATTGTTGTGCTTTCACTTGTCACTGGTTGTGCATTAAATTTGCACTATAAAGCAATGCACTAGTATCAAGGAGCGTTCAACAACTTTTCATTGTTGCAAAAGAAAAATAGATTTTAATGAATGCATTCATCTATATGGGCAAATATGTAGTGGTTATGTAGTGGAAATCTTGCTATGGGTATTGATTTTTATGTGTGTAGACAAGGGAAACCAGTGATAATGGCCTCATATTTGCAGAGTAAACATCATCTTTAATGATCATTTCACTTTACTGTTAATTAATATGATTGCTGATTAGTATAGGTGAAGTAATAGTTAGGCTATGTGTAAAGCACATACAGGGTTAACCAGAATGTCTTGTAGCGTTGCTAAGCAGTATATTGTCTAAAAAGTATATGCTACATAAAGAATTTTGATAAAACAAGAAAAACAAACAACATTTATTTCATAACTATCTATAAGGTTTTCTTTATACAGTTTGGGACTATGGAAAAAAGGGAGGGGTATTAAAATACTATGTAGTACCTCAGTAACTCGGAATCTTGATCAACTTTAATACAGATGTGATCTCAGATAGTGTGCAATGCAGAGTATTATATTTTATTCTTTTATCATGCAGGGTTTGGTGATTTTATGCCCGTCGATCAATGAACTGATAAAGAGTATGCATGTTTGTGTGTGGGAGGGGTGGGGGGTATACTTATTGATTGAGTGTGGGTCTGTGGGAGGATGTTTATATTGGTCAGTGAAATGTGCTTGGTGATTGCATTCTCTGGAAAACTCCAGGGAAATTACTCCAATGTACCCTTGTAGGTTACACTAGTGGTATACAATTTTATTGTCATGACATGAATAAATTTCTATTGTAGATAAGATATTGAGATGCATATATTCATATACTGAAGAAGCACTTAAAAAAAATCCCATTTCTTCATAGGGCTCAAGGCTGTTTTAATTTTTAGCCAAATATTTTCCTGGTATGTGTCTAACTAAGGAGATAAAATAAACATGAATTTAGAATCATCTGAGTGGCCTACAGGAAGAAGACTACTATACAAGCTTATTAGAGAAATAAGTATATCTCTTAAACAAGTTGACAGTAATGTAAGATAGTATAAGGTGCTACCTATTTTATATCAGTGTTTGTAGTCGCAGTAAGCCTGCAAGACTGAATACTTGATTCTTCCAGCAAGCTGACATTTGTTCAAGAAAATATTACCGCAATAAATCCGAGGTTAAATGAAATTAGGGGTTAGCAAGTTTCAGGGTGATATTTGTTTTTTACCCCCATTGGTCTACTATCCTGACAATGTTTATATTATTTAGGGTTGGTTATTTGGTCCCAGGGTTGTAGGATAAATCCTAGCATATGTAAAATTTATTTAGTAGTATATATACTGTGAAATCATCAAAATTCATGGAGGGGGAGGGGGGGGGGGCGATTTTCGTGGATTGCTTAAATTTTGCAGGTTTTTGGGGATGTAATTTCGTATATTCACTTTTATCTACTAAAAGAAATATGACTTTGAAACCCTAGTATATTAATTCGAGAAGGATGTAAATTTGTGGATGAAGGGTATCCACAAATTCCACGAATATTGAGCCACCACAAAAACTGATTCTACAGTATATTTGGTAATCGTTTATAATGCCCAGGCATATATACTTGGTGAAAAGCAAATTGTAGTTGACATTCATAGAAGAAAACAATTCTAAGAACTCCTGTTTATGTAAGGTTTTTATTTATTAATAAAATAAGCTTAAATTTTATAAAGGTTTATTTTGAGTGGGGAAAAAGTCACTTATTCTGATGTAACAATGATCTTGATGTTGCACAGCTGGGTTGAGTGTCCATAAACTGTGATGTTATTTAATACATTTACTCCATCTTTTTTTTTTAATATCTGCTGAAAATCTCATCCATTGATTGTTATGATTATTAGAGTAAATTACAATGTATGAGTTCATCAATAATTCAGAATGAGAACAATAATCACCCTGCAGCTTAGGCCAGATGCACTGGTCTCCAATCACAAAACTGATATGGCCAGGCTAAGCCATGTTAAATATAAGGCTTCATCTTTTTGATATCGTACAATCACAAGTATTTATTGATATTTGTGTTATTTTTCAGGTTATTTACTCTTTAAGGACTTCTGTGAAAACGTCTGTGATGAACCTGTCCCTCAGTTGAAGTTTTACGAGGAGGTAGGTTTACTGTGTAGTCCATAGCCTTTCCAGCTCAAATTATGTTTTACCCTGAAAGAAAAACAAAGAGGACATGAGGAAGAAATAGAATTCCCTCTCTCAAAAAAGGGTTATAAAAGAGTATTGTGTTTTACAAGTGACAAAATCATAATATTTGACACCAGATATGCAGATTTCCTGAAATGTTTAATTTACTCAGTGTGATAATATATGTACAGAATTAGTTTGTTTTTTTTTTACGTAATCGCAACGTTAGAGATACTTGCTCTAAAGATGGTGTCATCTTCCTGGAAGTGATGATTGAGCTGGGCACTACAGGAAGTATATAATTTATAAGTGGATATGGAGAATGTGCACCACTTCCCCAGAAAAGATCAGATTGAATGCATGTTTTCACTTTCACAAACAGCAAGGATTCTAAATGTATATCCAGGTCTTTTTCACACAGAGAAATCTTGTCAAAGATCAGTTGTATAGCTGTCCAGCAGTAGTAGAGATGCCCAAAATGATAAAAGTACATGTATCCTGATTTTGTAGACTGTGAAGTAATGATATGCAACCTAGCTGATAAGTAAATGTAAAAATATTAGAAAAATTTCATGTATTTCCTTATTTCAAAAAAGGTAAACTTAGCTTGAATGCAAGGAAATTATCTTCTTTAAGAGAAAAATAATCTTGGAAAAAACGAGATAAAAAATTGGGTTGGATCCATGAAGGAAAGAAAAGGTTTGAGAATGATTGACCTAAGGAATGAGAAATTGCAGAGCAGATGCACAAATGTAAACATGCACAGTGTTCAATTTCTTCTAAACCATCAGGCCAGGTTTGCAAATCTTTCAATTTGAAACTAAATCCCTGAACTCATCAGAGCAGTCAGCTAGACAGAGTAATTTGGTTGATCAAGTATTCCAAAAGCACAGAGAATTCTCTGAGAACATATCTACTCTCTGCATGAATCTACTGATATGTGTCCTCTGCACATTTATTAGAAATATATATTGATTGTAGGACCAGGAAAGCTGGAATGATAAATTCTAGCAGGTCACCAGAGGTAGTAGTCGGGGACTATTGATCCAGCAACTTCCCACTCAGCTTGCACCCTCCATCAATACATTAGTAACATGTGCTCACTTTACCCACCATTTGTAATGGCTTTGTCAGGTACTGCAAGCTCTATATAAATGAGAATCCCATTTAACAATGACAGCACACTCTCCATTTCTCCTGTAGCATGGTAGATTTTATCCCTCGTTTACAAGTAATGCAGACACTTGGGAAGTGAAGGAGTCATTTAAGTGCTTTGTAATGTTCATTTACACAAGAGTAACACAGTAAATTAAGTTGTGAATAAATTAAAGACCTGGTGCCTTTAGTTGTTGAACATGGCTGGAAGTGCTCAGAATTTGGGGGGACCCGGTACAGTAGTAATCCAAGGCGTGAATTCAAGATCAAAGGTAGAACAAAACACTTAAGTACATGTAGTGCATTATATGGGATCAAACATAAGATCTGGCATGGATTGAGAAATGTGTTCTATTCAAACTGACATATGATAAAACATGTTTTGATATACATTGGAATGTCCTTAAAGCATTTTTGCAGTAATCAAGGAAAATATAAACACATATATTGTGTAAAATTCACGAGTTTCTAGTGATTAACTGAATCCCTGCATGATACAGAGGCCTGGTAGAGAGATATGTAATGGTTCCTTCAATGTCTTATGACAGGTTTTTGGCATCTGGTTATTCTCAGGTATATGTACTGGTCAAGAATGGCTCAGGTAAAACCCTGAAACAAATCTGCAGTAAAGTGCTAGCTCCAATACTTTACTGGGCATAATTTAATTCAGGCCATCATTGACCTGGATAGCTGGAGAGACAGTTGTTTACTGTTATATACACCATACATAATTGCTACACAACACCTCTTGAGTGCTTGGGGGTATCACTGGTCTGTTAATTCAGCGCTCTTTAAGGCTGAAGGGATATATTGAATTTAGGGTTTTGATGTTACAAAGGTATAGAGAGAAAGATATATCCATTCCCAAACAAATTATCAGGCTTTCTACATGGTTTGCCAAGATTGGTGTCAAGATAATGCCAGGGAATAGAGATCTGTGTTAAATGGTACAGCACTATAGACAGTATGCTATTTACATCATATTTAAGAGCCAGTCCAAAAAAACAAAATGGAAAGCAGAAAAGTTTTTCGGAAAACATGAATAGGATAATACCTGCAGTCTTAGAAGCAGAATAAACACAGATCTGGGGGAGAGTCAGAACTGCACTGTAGCTTTATCCTGGCTGTTCACATCTGACAGGTCTCAGAAATGGAACAATGTATAAATAGATATGTATTGATAGAAAAGAAATGAAGATGTGGGAGGTTTTTGGAAAGCTCCAGGTGGCTAAACGGAGAATTCCATGAGGTTTGGTGGATAATTGATTTGTGACTCCACTGTGTTTATATTACACAAAATCTTTGAAAATGCAGACTCTAAGTTATTGACCTGTGGGATAGGGAAATAATTTCAGTAAGTCTCGTATGCACTGTGTAATAGAGGTGATGTCAGAGAATCTATGTATTACTACTAATTGTCAAGTTAACATTGTATAGTTGAGGTTTAAACTGATTGTTTTGTTGAGGTCCCAATTGTATTGTTGAGGTATATAGTAAACTGATTGTATTGTTGAGATTCCTGGTTGTATGGTTGAGATTCCTGATTGTATGGTTGAGATTCCTGGTTGTATGGTTGAGATTCCTGATTGTATGGTTGAGATTCCTGATTGTATTGTTGAGATTCCTGATTGTATGGTTGAGATTCCTGATTGTATGGTTGAGATTCCTGATTGTATTGTTGATCGGGGTATAAACTGATTGTATTGTTGAGATTCCTGGTTGTATGGTTGAGATTCCTGGTTGTATGGTTGAGATTCCTGATTGTATTGTTGAGATTCCTGGTTGTATGGTTGAGATTCCTGGTTGTATGGTTGAGATTCCTGATTGTATTCTTGAGATTCCTGATTGTATGGTTGAGATTCCTGGTTGTATGGTTGAGATTCCTGATTGTATTCTTGAGATTCCTGATTGTATTGTTGAGATTCCTGATTGTATTCTTGAGATTCCTGATTGTATGGTTGAGATTCCTGATTGTATGGTTGAGATTCCTGATTGTATTGCTGAGATTCCTGATTGTATTGTTGAGATTCCTGATTGTATTGCTGAGATTCCTGATTGTATGGTTGAGATTCCTGATTGTATGGTTGAGATTCTTGATTGTATGGTTGAGATTCCTGGTTGTATGGTTGAGATTCCTGATTGTATGGTTGAGGTATAAACTGATTGTGTTGTTGAGATTATTGTATTGTTGAGGTATAAAATGATTTTATTTGGATTCATCCCATCAACAGGTGTAAAAATGTATCTTAGGAATTTGATACAGTTGTATAATTGTCATAAAAACTAACTCACAGCTATTGGATAATTGTGAATACGTGTACTTTCATAAGGATGTGGTTCCTGTTTGAAAGCCCTGTTTAAACTGAATGATTATCCTTTGTGCTTCATTATGAAGGCCCTGTGTGATAAGTTTTGTTTATGTTGTTAAGTGAACTTGTGATCTATGTATTCAGTTTTCTAGATAGGAAAACCTGTAGGAGGTTTAAGACTGAACCACCGTGTATTAGCTTTGGGAACAGATGGTCAGATGTTTGATCCATGTTGTTATTGGCAGACAGTTCATTTTTACCTATAATCCATCATTCTTTATAAAAAAAAAAATGACCTGAAAAGATTTAAAGTTCAGGGTAGATTCTTTTCAAAAATAAAAAAAATCCTGACATATTGATACAAATTTGTAATAAGGTAAATGATCTGAGAGCTAATTGAAAATATTTGAATGATTAAAGTATTTGTTCTGTAAAGTACAGTGTTTCTGGAATCAGAAATTTGACTTATCAGTGCCTTGTGTCTTTTTTCTGACTCATATTGGCTTTATCAAAGTTAAGAACATTGGTCACTTACCGGTATAATTGACCCATGCATTTAAAGCTGTTTGCATAGTTTTCTTTAGCACAAATTTATTAATTTTTGTGTTGCCTTTAATGATAATAAAAAAAGAAAAAGAAATATGTACAAGAAAAAAAAAAAGAAATATGTACTTAAACTATAAACTTTACAATTTTAGATTGAGGAACGTTTTTCAACCATTAGCTTCCTTTTGTTGATATTTACAAAATGATTTAGGAAAAGATAATGAGTCATAACGTACTATCAAATAATCCTGCAGAAAAAATTTCTTTTCCTATCAAAATATATACACACACAGAACTTAGCTCAGTCTGGGACAGAATAGCAATGCTATGTATAAGTTTCTGCAGTTTTTGGCATTTTAACGGAAGAAATTTTTTATTTGTTATCCGAAAATCAGACATTTAGAGGATTTCTTAATATTAAGTTACAGAAATGACATTTAATGGCAGATACATTAGAGCCCCAGCTTTGTGTGCCTCCGAATAGAGACAATATGATTACCGAAAACGCTTATTATATATAAACTGGTCAGAAGAATTGGACTTGTGCTGGAAGCAATCAATAGATAGATCTCCTAGGAATTCAACAGGAGCAAAAAGCCATTACCGGGAAGAAGTAACTTGTATTTTAGTCTGCCAACCATTATGCTGGGAAGGGGGATAACAAAGGACTAGATCATATAAATCATGCTTTGGTCCCTCCCAGTGTGACAGACTTAAAGGTACCCAATGACAGGACCCTGTGAAAGATGTAAAGCCTCTCAGTCATCAATCAGGAAAATTAGGAGTCCAGGGAATTGATGAGGGTTTATAGAGAGAGAGATGGCATGGAAATGTAAAGTGGTCATGTGATCACATGAATTTGGTCAATATGACTCTCAAATTTTCAAAATCACATATTATTTTGCAGTGTATGTGTTAGTACTCAATCATATAATGAAACACAATTCTCATAATGTAAATCTCAATATCCATTATTTATGTAATAAAAACAATTACAAACATGGGTAGGTCAATAGTTCAACACCTGGTCCAATAAATGAATTGTTTAATTCCATTGAAATTAAGTGAAAATCTATGAAGACATAATGTGCATTGAATACACTCTTCAGTACATATTCTTCAAGTTGTTGAGTAGATATATAAAGAATTAAAAAAAGTTTCACGCTGTTCACTAGCAAGCTGAAAGTTCTTTTCTAAAGCAGAGGTTTTTTTGGGTCACAGTTTTCCTCAGTTTGCTTTCCACAGAGGTTCTGCAGTTGACAAAACAGGCCTTAGTCAGTTGATCTATTGTATGATTGTTCTATATCTAGGCAGATGTCACTTCACTATAGATCTAGTTAGCTGTAAGATGCAATTAATCAATATTCTTTATTATTTTTGTGTTTATGTATGTATTCCAAATAGAAGTAAGAGTATTGTAAAAACTATGCATTTTTATGGTGTAGTGCGTCATTGTGGAAATCCTTAGAATTTATTGGTAGGGCTGGAATGTCTTTAAAGATTTTTGACTACCATGTTAGGTTGTCTTACATCTGTATATTTATTGAGATGGAAAAAAAACTTATAAAATGCTTGTTTCTTTTTCTTCATGATACATGCAGTGTTATATTTAAGTCCAAAATATAAAATTATTAATAAGATCTAAGATAAAAGAATAACTGACTTTTGAATGATTTTGATTTTGAATGATATACAGTCAAACCTCGTTATCTCGAATTCAATGGGATCAAGAAAAAACTTCAAGATATCCAAGCATTAGAGATATATCCAGGGTAAAATACTTAAGGGACTTCAAAATCATTTCAACATATCCATAGTATTTGAAATATCCGTGTTGGAGATACCGAAGTTCAACTGTATTTTACATTGTAGGAGTTTTTGCTTACTACACACTAAAATAGCCATGTGAATAAATGGCAGTTCTGGAGCTTTTTTTTTTTTTAAATATTTCACACTGAGTTCCCCTTTTTTCCTCTTTGAAGACTGCAAACTGTTTTTGTGAGTATAATTGGTTAACTAACCCTCTACCAAAATTGTGAAATTCATATCTGAATCAAGGAGATAGGCTCAGGGCCCAGGGTAGGTGTAAGTGGGAATATTGAATATTTATGAACTAGCTGGTATACATTTAAATATCTTATTTATTCCTGGACATTTAGCAAGGAAACAGTATGTATGATGGACGTAAATAAGCTACATAGAGAATATTCAAAGTTTTTCTTTTTAGTTGGAAATAGAATTTACTTTGTGAAGAAGGGAGGGAAGGGGGTTCTTCTAGCTTATGAAAGTATCAAATATTCCTGTCTCCCTATTAAGTAAAATAAATTCCATAATCAACTACAAAACATTGAATTTTTTGTTTCTTACATTTTTTTTGGGTTTTCCTTTTACTCCTTTTGCCTATTAGTTTTCTCTATGTAATGCAGTGGCATAGGATGGGGTGTCATAGGTAAACAGTTGTAGGATTGAAATTTTTACAACAATTTGGAAAAACTGTGTTTAGTTGGT